CGTCGGTCACTCGCCACCAAGCGGGGAGCCCTCCCCCCACCCCCCAATACACTCTCTCTCTCTCTCTCTCTCTCTCCGGTTCCTGACGGAGCAACGCTCCCCACTGGACGCCCAGCGGAGGGAGGGCAGCCCCCGGGGAAAGCCCGGGACCACCCCGAGCCGAGCACCGCCACTTACCGGTCTCCTCGGCCTGGGACGGGCGCTCCTCGGGGTCGCCCAGAGCCCCCCTGCCTGGCTAGCCCGAGCTTCCAGGGCCAGGGAGCGCGAGGCTGGCAGGGCACCGCTCGGCATCAGCCCCTTTAGCCCCGCGTGGCGGCGGAAGCGCGGCCGGGGAGCCCGCGCGGGAAAGGCTGGGGACGGCGCGCGGTCCTCGGAATGACCGCCAAAGCGCCAAGTGGGGAGGAGGAGGGAGGGAGGGGAGGGGAGGCAAGGAGAGACCGAGCGGGTGGAGTGACAGCTGGGGGGTACATCTGTGATGACAGCAATGCACACGCAGCACACACGCGCGCGCGCGCGCACAAACACACACACACGCACACGCACACACACACACACACGCTCCCAGCGCGAAGGGACTGACTCAGAGGTGCGGGCAGCCTCCACTTTCCCTCCCTCCCTCCCCATTCTCAAAGTCCAGGACTCCGAATGGGCCCCGTCCTTGCCTTTCCCGCCCCTTTAGCAGGTGCTCTTGTGTAGCTGGCATTCCTTTCCTTCCTTCCTTCCTTCCTTCCTTCCTTCCTTCCTTCCTTCCTTCTTCCCTCCCTCCTTCTTAACCTCCCTCCCTTCTTCCTTCCTTTCTCCCTCCCTCCTCCCTCCCTTCCTTCCTTCCTAACCTACCTATCTTTTTCTTTCCTTCCTCCCTCCCCTCTCCTTACTAACCTCCCTCCCTCCTTCTTTCCTTCCTTCCTCCCTCCTTCCCTCCTTCTTTCCTAACCTTCCTCCCTCCCTCCTTCTTACCTCCCTCTCTCCTTCATAACCTCCCTCCCTCCTAACCTCTCTCTCTTCTTCCTCCCTCCCTCCTTCCTTCCTAATGTCCCTCCCTCCCTTTCTTTCTTTCTTTCCTTCCTTCCTTCCCTCCTCCTTCCCTCCCTCCTTCTTCCCTAACCTCCCTCCCTCCGTTCTTCTTAACCTCTCTCCTTCCTTCTTCCTTCCTTCCTCCCTGCCACCACTGCCATTCAGAGCAGGGCAACCTTTGGGTGCTCAGCCTCCGCTGACAGCAGATCCACCCGGAGAACCAAGAGCTCTTTTTTCCTGCTTTGCTCTTTTTTCCTGCTTGACTTGGGAAAAAATAAAAATAAAAAAAGCCGGGAGGGTCTGGAGAGGAAATGAAGAGAAAGCCTTTGACATCTGCACAGTGAACAACCAGCCAACTAACGTCAACATCACCCCTGGGAAAAAGTGAGAGGCGCGACCCTGTTTGCCAGCCAGTTTGGGGTCGCAGGGATGCAGCTTAAGAGTCATTCAAGGCCTCCGCTCCAGGGCCAGGCTAGAGAGGCCGGATCTCCTGAGGGAAGGGAGAAGAGCAAGCGAAGGTTGCGTGGAAGAGGGTTATATTTTGGGTGTAAATTCAGCAGGGCGACTCCTGAATGAAAGCAATGAGCGTTTATGCTTGGTGATGCATTTATGGGTTCTTTAATATAACCTCCAGTGGTGAGCTTTAGGCTAAATTTCATTCCTCCTTTTTAGTGTTACCCTAAATGGACTCAGTTTAAAACAACAACAACATGATAGTGGAGAGCTGAAATTGTATATGATAGAAAATGTGAATGGCTTATCAGACTCCTTTGCAGTTATTCTGCCACCTTAATTTCCAACAGTTAGAACAATTGGGACAACTTGCCTCCAGAAGCTGTGGGTGCTCCAACTAGAAGTTTTTAAGAAGAGATTGGACAACCATTTGTCTGAAATGGTATAGGGTTTCCTGCTTAAGCAGGGGGTTGGACTAGAAGACCTCCAATATCCCTTCCAACTCTTTTATTCTGTTATCTCTAGATTTCTATATGGTGGAGACTCTTTTTTTTTCCCTTCAGATTTTGTATTTTAAATAAATCTCCCTTCTTTCTCTCTGGATCCTCCATGACTACTTCCAAAAGCTAAATCCTGCAAATATTATTTTTGACAACCTTCTCTCATTCTCTCTGTCCTATTACTTTGCTGCTGTTTGTCAACTTGCATTGTCTTAAGATTCTTTATGGCCCTAAACTGCCTCCGTTGGCCTAAAAAGTGGGCCTTAAATATTCAAAGGAAATACGTGGGGAAGGAAATGATGGGCAGGTAACTTATTATGAACACCATCAAAGAGAACAAAGTTATCACTGCAATTTGGGAATATCTTTTTATAAAGGGGTGTTGGGCAGGTCTGAGCCAGGCAAGCCCACTTCGCAGGATTAATGGAAGAATTTAGAGCTGTGCATGTAAACTAAAAAAACAAAAAGGGGGAATATAAATTGAACAGTCAATAAATCCCTGGGCCAATCAAGGTTTATAATGGAAAAAAGTTATTTGTTTATTTATTTACATCCTACCCTTTTTATATAAATAACTCAAGGCGGTAAGCACACCTAATACCCCTTCCTCCTCCTTTTTTCCCCACAACAACCTTGCAAAGTGAGTGAGTTGACAGAGACTGGCCCAAAGTCACCCCAACACGCTCTCATGCCTAAGGCAGGACTAGAACTCACAATCTCCCAGTTTACAGCCTGGTGCCTTAACCACTAGAAACTATATGCTGCAAGAAGTCTTTTATTTATTTCATATCATTCAGTTTTTATCCAGTCCTAACTAGGTAGCAAATAAATATGCAAAACAAAATACTGATTAAATTCACAGTCTTCATTTGCCTTGTAAGTAAACCAATGGATCTTTCTAAAAATCCTTTGACTTAAGTGCACTGTTCATTACTAGGCATTACTTTAAAAAAAAATGCTTCAGAGTGCATTGGGCACAAATGCCACATTTGTGCAGAACTCTTTAAAGCAATTGTGCTCACATGTGTGCATGGCTGCGTGAGTGTGAGCATGCAGTATAAATTTTCAAACCACGTTACTCTTTTTTTATTACTTAAAAGCTGTTTAAATAGCTTTTAGGACCCAAGTGCATAGTTATCACTGACAGTCTGTTTCTTTCAGTGATGCAGAAATGCAGTTTGAACAGAAGGATGGGTTACACAAGTCTATCCTCATGCCAAAGATGCATGCTCCCAAGGTTTTTAATCCAACAATGGCAAATGTGGATATCCGAGTAAGAACTGTAATGTGAGAATATGGCAGGCTCCAAATTAGCTCTATAATAGGTTCTCATATCCCTCTGTCTTTCCTTCCCCTGTATCTTCCCATTTTATTTCTTCATAGAGATAACTTTAACTACATCACAATCTTAATTTTTGCAATAACTGTTCTGACGGTAGGTATCTTTGGGATAGGCAAGTGACAAAACACATGGTATAATGCAACCTTTTCAGGTATTTGTACGTGTGACATCACAAGGATGGGACTTGTATGATGACATCACAGCAACTTTCTGGTTTCCAGAACATCATGGTAACTTTCTAATGCCCTTCTTAGCTGGATTTACTTATGCCTTTTATAGAATGCAAAGAATGAAAAACATGGAGATTTCATTGTATTTATTTAAGACATTTCAAGCATTTATTTATTTAAGACATTTCACATTAATCCCTCCTCTGGAAAGCATTACAAACATGAAGGCATAACAATATGTGTATACTAATCTACGTAAATTGATGCAACAAAGCCAGTCCAGGGCCTTCACGGTCACTTTGAGAATAGCATGCTTTTAAAATGAATGAATTGTAAAAGTCTTCCCTTAAAACCTAAGCTCAACCTGGCAGCAAGTATGTAATAAGGCAATTCCATTTGTCCTGCTGACAGAAATGCTTGACTTTCCCTCCCCTTAAATTGTGTCCCTTCCTGCCAATGATTGCCAAAATTACTGCTTAACTTCATTCCTTTTAGTCAATAAAGATTCTCGGGTAGAATTGTCTCTAAGTTGAGCCATGGCAACTGAACTCATTTTCTTGTTGGCTTGAGATGTTTTGCTGCCCATCCAAAATAAGTCCAGGGTAACCATGCAGCCAGAACCCATCCATGTGTTATGCACAATGTCATACAATTGGTGGGGCTTCAATCATGCAATTATTTTTCACCCCAGTCATGCTTTATCATGCAACCCAAGCAGGGGTGGGTTCTACTTACCTTTACTACCGGTTTGCAATGGAGCTGCATGCGCGAGCTCGCTTCACTCATGCACAGAAGCGTTCTGATGATGTCAGGGTCGGTGGGCGGAGCCTCCCTCTAGTTTTATTACCGGTTCTATACAACAGGTCTGAACCGGGGGCAACCCACCACTGAACCCAAGGCAAAGACAGACTACCTATCTTTATTGATGGAATAAAAGCCATTCTAGAGATTTTTAACAGCTATGGTAGAATATGCTGTATATACTGTAAGTAATAGTTTATTACCCAAAAACAAGAGTATGACTGAATCGATCAACTAAATCGACCAGTTAATTAGTTAATTAAAAAAAGAATCTTGCAGATTTAATGAAACAGTGGGACAAAAAAAAATGTACAATTTTAAGCTTAGTTAACAGCCATCTTCCATCTTTAGGGTAAGATGCTGACCGTGTCCCTTTAATGAATTGTAACTGCAAGAGATGGCTTATATAATCATCTATACATCAATTAAAGGGGGAAGGTATTTTGGCAGGCTGTTTTATCTTGATTGTGTTTAGTGGGAGTTAGGTGTCAGAATTTCAGTACAGCAGCTGATAGATCCGGTTCCATTCCCCTGTTAAACCCCTGACTCTCACTTTCTGATCTGATTCAACATTTACCTGTTACTTACACTTATAAGAGGTGTGACTTCCTCCAGGATCTCTGAGGAAAATGTCAGTTTCGCTCCTATAATACATCTTGGCTTTTTTCCCCCCTAATCCTTCCCTCCTTTTTCTTTTTTGTTGTTCTGTTTTCCCCATAGCGGTGGGGGTGCAACTTAAATTGGAATGGCTCCAGCAGAAATTATGGGAGGCTACACAGCAGGTAAGCATAACAATGTTTTGGTCGAGATAAAAGGTAAAATAGAGAATAATTTCCCCATTTCTAGATAAATGAACCCTATTGGCTGGGCCAAGTGGCATTTCCCATACCAAATTTGCACATGAGTCCTTGGGAAATCTGTATTAAACAGATTTGAGCAAGAGATTAGTTTTTAAATTGCACATTTTGGTAATCCCTTGACAACTTTAATGCTGCATCTGCTGCCAATCTGTTCTGAGAACATTAACAAACCAAAGCCCAGCTTGGCATTAAATCCACTGCAGCTGAAACACTGAAATTGGGAATCATATCTACCGGTTCAGTTATCCAAAAGCCACTTTGATTTCATCCAGAATGTTGTATGTGCCCCTTGCACATCTTTCTTAATTAGGATTGTCATTCTTCCTTGCTTTACAAATTGATGCAAATAACTCCTTTGTGAGAATTTGGTGCTCTGTGCATTCAGTGATGATTTAATTATTAATTTATCTATCAAAGGTATAGTACCACACAATGTGGGGGCTTGCTTACTCTAGGTAGCTTACAATAAAAACAATTAATTAAAAAATCCTAATAGGATTGCTAATATTGCTGATAAAACTAATCAGATCTACACACAAAAGAAAGAACCAGGTCTGATCGTGCAAGGCAACTGCAGAAATTGAAATACTAATTCCAAGACCTGAGAAAAAGGTTCCCTAAAGCAGGGGTCTCCCACCTTGGCAACTTTAAGCCTGGCGGACTTCAACTCCCCCAATTCCCCAGCCAGCCAGCTTTGCTTTGCTGGCTGGGGAATTCTGGGAGTTGAAGTCCACCAGATTTAAAGTTATCAAGGTGGGAGACCCCTGCTCTAAAGGATAGTCAGATCAGGGCAAGGCAAAGCTCTGGGGGTGGGGGATATACCATTCTAAAGGTAGGTGTCACAACAAGGAAGGCATACTCTCTGGAGACCCATCAATAATGGTATTTCAAGGATGGGACCCAGAGCATGCGAACTCTGGTGGATCTTACAGGGTGCGTACAACTATGGGAGAAAAACAATTCCTCAGATAACCAATTTACTTACCGCTTTTAGCAATGTCTTAACTGTGTTTGCATAAAAGCACTGAAGCCATTCATCGTGAGCCCTGGTGGCACAGTGATGAGATTGCAGTATTGCAGGCAAACTCTGCCCACAGACTGGAGTTTGATGCTGCCAGGGCTCAAGATTGACTCAGCCTTCCCTCCTTCTGAGATCGGTAAAATGATGACCCAAATTGTCGGCGGCCATATGCAAATAATCATCTATATTGTAAATCATCCAGAGAGTGTTGCAAAGTTCTATGGGGTGATATATATGTCTAAATGTTATTGCTATTGCTATCTTCACATAAGCCAAAAAGGCATTTGACTGTGTGGAATCAGAAAGCAAGGATTCTAAGATGTGCATGTTAAGCAAGATGTTAACATCATAACCTATGGAGAGAGAATCCTGTAACATTTATCATCAATCATCTTGTTTACCTTTGATGGCAGAGATTTTCATTATTGGAAGGATGAACTGATTTCACTGTTCTTTTGATAACCACAATCAACAGCATCTGTGGGAAAAGGCTAAAAAAGGCAAGATGGTAGTATGATTGAAGATCTGCCCTCTTTTTTTTAATGCATTGTTGCAGATGACTCCAAAGGATGTGTCAGCCCAGAGCAAATCTCTCTCTCTCTCTCTCTCTTACTATCTGATTTGATTTCATTTGAATGTAATTAAAACCAAATTAATTAATGGATTAATTTAATCCATTATTAATTAATATGATAATCCATATTCATTTAATAGGGATTTTCTCGCATTAAAAATGTACAATTTAGAAAGCCATTCCTAAGACAGAGAATGGGACAACTGCGATTTTGGAACCAGATACTGACACCCTGGGAAATGGTATATTTTAAGAGAAAATGAAAGCAAATTTCAACTTTTGCTCATATTTCTATTCTCAGAATCCACAAAAAGTTGCATAGGATGCCGCCTTCTGGCTCTGTGGTACTCAACAGTGGATAAGTAAGGAGTCACTAATAGTCATTTTTTTCTCTTCTTTCTGTTTTATGTTTACTCTCTTGCAGCCCAATGATACGGATGTAAGTAAAAAAATTGAAAGACCAAAATATTCCAGAGTACCTATGGTTTATGTATATCACTAAGCTTTGATTATTGTTTTGTCCTTGATGTGTGAGATGTGGAGTTTGAATGTTCTTCTTTGTATACTCAAATATTACAGACAAATCAGATTAAGTTGCTAAAGACCGGAAACTGGCACAATAGAAACAGATTTAAAACTGATTAAATCTCAAATATATATATAAAATAATCCAGCCAAACACTCTATAAATTCTGTGAAGAAAAAAAAAAGTCTTAAAGTATCAACCCCAGTAGGAATCTGACTGCAAAGATTACAAAAAGCTGCTTAACAAATCTAAAACTCAGGCAACTGAACTCAACTTTGTATAACTATCTTTGCAAATGTGGGATAGTTATGCATTGCACAATTTAAATATGAAGCTGTAATGGCATGTTTGAATTACTGGGACAGGGGGAGAGATGCTGCCTAGGGAATGATCAGACAAAATGGGAGGGTGAGCCCACAGCTGCTTTAGAAGCAGAGAAAGATACTCAGATGAGATCCTTCCTAACTTATCAGCCTATAAAAAAAGACAGCAGGAGTCTTGTATTTTCGGACTTGCAAGATTCTGTTAATGTAGCCTTACAATAAAATAGGATTATCTCATCTGGTTGTGTTTTCTGTCTGATCTACCTGGGAAGGCTGATGTAAATCTTGCAAGTCTGAAAGTTCTTATTATTTTTTTTTAAAAAAAGATTAAAAACTATTATAAACTAATATAACATTAAGAAAAGAAAAAAGAAAGAAATCAAAGAGAAAATTAAATGTGCAAGAAAAGAAAAAAGAAAAACTAAAATAGAGAAGAAAGAAAAAAGATGCAAAGGATTGGCTCCTGATCTTTATAGAAGTTCTAAGTACAGTTATAAATTTACCTTTCTCTAAAGCTACGTCTCTCTTCTTTCTATAATTTATCCTGTCTAATCATCAAAACCATAAATCGTAAGTTTGTTTTTTTCTGTTTTTGACAAAAAGTCCATAAAGGGTTTCCAATCAGCAATAAATATAGACAGTTTTTTCTCTGATCAAAGAAGTCAATTTGGCCCTCTCAGCAAGTTCTGTCATCTTCGCCAACCATTCTTCCATTGTAGGTTTTGCCAATTTTTTTCCATTTGTGCATACAATAATCTTGATCCAGTTATCATGTACAAAAAAATTCATGACTTTTTTCCAACTGTGTCCATCAGTCTCAAAAGAAAGACTTCTAGTCTCAATTGTACATTAATTTTAAAATCCTCTGAATCAGTATTTGAATCTAAAATGTTCTAGCTTTTTTATATGTCCACCAAGCATTGATATATTCCTTCTTTTTGTTCACTTTTTTAACATGAATTTGAGTTGCCAACAGAACGTCATTTTATAAAAATTCTTTAAATTATAACATAGTATAAATTTCAGTCCTTTCAACCACGTATTTTTCCATTATTCCATCTGCATACGATAACCATTTTTTAAAATTTATCATAGATTCTCCCACTTGTTCTTCTGTTTCAAATTTCAATAAATTTATGGATTATAGCAATTACATGTTCATTATTTGTACATAATTCCATTTCAAACCCACAATATTCAAAACCATAAACTTTTTTGCCTATTTTAAATCTTTCTAATAACTAAATTAAGAAAGCTATTGTTGATTATGTCCCCCTACCATGAGTTTTGAATTTATTTTGAACCCCCGTGACAAAATAATAATATTTCACATTAAGATAATTATTTATATGCCCTATTATTTCTCGACTATATCATGCCACAGATATCCATGCCACCCAAATCTCAGGTCACGTCCTTCTAACTCCAAAAGTTTTCTATTTCTCAGCACCACCCATTCTTTCATCCAAACCAAACCAAACAGCAAGATGCAAAATACAATTTCAAATCAAGTACACCCTATCCTCCCCTTTTCTTTCTATTCTGTAAGACCACATATTTAATTTGTGGGTTGTCCCCCCCAACACAATTTTAAGTATATCTTTTTGCCATCACTTGAATGAAACATTCCTTTTTCAAAACAGGAATTGTCTGAAATAAAAACGTCACTCTACACAAGACATTCATTTTTATTCCAGAAATTTTTCCCAGCAATGACAATGGTAGTTTCTCCCATTTTAACATATATCCTTTTTAACTTCATTCCATATCTTAACATGATTATTTTGAAATCACACTCAATTCTTATTTATCATAGTGATGCCCAGATATATTACTTTCTTCTCAATTTTAAGACTCATTCTATTTATCAGTTCTGTTTGATCTTCTATTTTCATATTTTTGTTAACCGCTTCATCTTCTACTTATTGATCTTAAAACATGCTAATGTACCAACTTTAAAAACCAAATATGTTGTGTTTTTTCTAATATGTGTTTCTTGTAGGCATTTATGTCTTGTTTTAATTTTTTCAAATAATGACTTTTTTCTTTTTTCAAGAACATTTGCTCATTCTAGATTAAGCATCTAAAATCTATAATCAACACAAACATTTAGAAAGGTCAATACCTGTAGTGCATGGTTCAGTATCATTCCGTTCAGGTTACTGTTGCACCTGCTGAAGTTCCTGTACAGTCTCATCTGACACTCCAATTCCCCTTTCTTTTTTTTTCTAGAAATTCCCTCACCTTCTCAACATAATTCAATCAAACTCTGTTGTTTAGAATTAAAAATCACCCTTTCAAATTATCCCATCAAAATTAAATCTTTTTCTGTTTTAATCTATCAGTCAAATAAGAATACTCTTTTCTCTTATGCAAGATTCTAATAGGAGTTTTTTAGAGCAATTTCATCTGCATTAGCAATCTTCAGTTTATATTAAAATACTGCTACAAAATGTGATGTCTTGTCTTCTTCCTGACAAAGTGCACCAAGACATCACTTGAAATATTTCTTATTCTCACAAGTCTTGTATTTATTCTATATATCTTATCAATTTCTGCCTGTATATAGCCTCCTCATCATAATCCAAAACATCTGCTAAAGCAATGGTTAAAAAATAACCTTTTCTCTAATATCTTCAGCATAATCCTCTGGAGTTGCTCTAACTCTCAAGCAAAATTCCTTCTTTCTCAATTCCAGTACTCCCATATTATCTAATACTCTTTCCAGCTCCCTGCCATAACTCTCCAAAAATTCCACTTTGTCATTAATTCATTTTACATCTCCAGATACTTGTTTTACAGAGCTTTTGTTCTTCTCAACATCTTTTTAATCTTTCATCTTTACAAGTCTTTGAACCACATTTTTTTAAAAAAAGCTGTCAATTTAATATGTAGTGGTTTAGTCAGTTAATTATAGTTTAGGTAACTTATTGCCAAATTTCTCAAACATTTTCTGAAGTAAATCTGGTGTAATTCCTCTTTTGCAGGTTGTTCTAACAAGCTCTTTCTTCCCTCTGCTATTTTTTCCACTTTTTTGGTGGTTACCAAAATAAAAGAGTAAAAGGCATGCTTTCCCCCCTTTTTTCTCTATTATTTTCTTGTGCCCTTAATATAGACCAGGGCCTTTTACTACTTGTGGGCCACATCTAGCCCTTTGGCTATTCCTGTCCAGTCCACGGCAGCAGTGGTAGGGTGAGAGCAGTGGTGGGGTAGCAGGGAGGGCAGGGAGAGTGGGTGGCACTGGCGACCCACTACAACAATCCCAGTTTCTTATTTATTTTATTTTTTATTTATTTTATTAATTCAATTTATATGCCGCCCCTCTCCAAAGACTCAGGGCGGCTCACAATACATTCAAAAAACACTATAAAAACATTTAAAAATTAAAAACATAAAAAACATAAAAACCCATTCGCACCATTCATGGCTGGATCTCGTCAGATCGTAGTGGTGAGATTAACGGCCCCAAGCCTGTCGGAAAAGCCAGATCTTCACCACTTTTCAGAAAGCCAATAGGGTGGGGATGGTCTGGACCTCAGGAGGTAACTGGTTCCAGAGAGTTGGGGCAGCCACAGAGAAGGCCCTCCCCTGCGGGCCCGCCAGCTAACATTGTTTAGCTGACCAGACCCAGAGGAGACCAACTCTGTGGGATCTTACTGGTCTCTGGGAGCTATATGGCAGAAGGCGGTCTCGAAGATAACCTGGCCCTGAGCCATGTAGGGCTTTAAAGGTAATAACCAATACCTTGAATTGTGACCAGAGACCAATAGGGAGCCAGTGCAGCTCATGGAGAATTGGTGTAATGTGGGTGTACCTAGGTGCACCCACGACAGCTCGCACTTATGTGGCCACTTAGGAGAATTGGCCACCTCACCTTAATACTTTTATCCAAATGGCACTTTGTAGTGTCAGCATCACAGTTTAGCTCATATTATTTCAATCTTCTTTAAAAAATAAAATTCACCAATTGTCTGCACCCTTAATAGCAATTAAAAACATTTCTAAGAAGGTCTGGTTTGCTTGCCTATTTTAATTCCAATTAATTTAAAAGCAGTTTCTCTCTCTCTCTCACACACACACATACACACACACACACACACACACACACACACACCCTTATCTCCTTTATCGGTTGTAATCTTTCTTACATCTATTTCTTGTTAAGCTTTTTGTTAAAAGTTTTTGAATCTTTAAAATCCTTTTTTTTTTCTTTTTAATCCACAAAGAATAATGACTCACTAAATGGATTACCTTGATCCTGCCACTCAGAAAAATCTCTCTAGCTGTAAATTGATTACATCTGAAAGTGGATAAGAAAGTGAGTCTTTTGGGAACCTTGTGTCCATCATGGCTGTGAACCTGGTTGAAATCCCTTGACTCCCAGCCACTCAACTCTTGAGCTGACCACAAAAACCTGTTTTTGAATTGAATATTTGCACAATCCCTCCTTGTCTGGAAAGACAGCGCCTGCCTAAATATGCCATCTGGCTACTGGTCTCCACCGCAATGCCATCCCTTCTCCTTCAGGAATGTTTATTCTGCAATAGATCCTCCCCCAGAAGCTAAACATATTAAAAATCATCGTGATGACCTTATTGATTATCACCAATATGCAGCTTCTGAAAGCCAGGTGCTTGCTTTCCAGATTTTACATGTCCTGGCATGCTTTGATGTGCCAGTGTAAAGGTAGACACAACTAATCCTAAATCTATTCAGGAAAACTAAACTTTATATGAAGGACAGACTAATTTGTACACGTGGTACAATGGATATCCAATCAGGAATATTTATTGAATTTTCTGCAGAACCACCACACATTTTAATTATTTTGCAGACAAATACTGAAATGGTAAACAGGCTGCGAGAATATGATTGTCACAATCAGCTTTTGTCTTTAGGAAATATTTGCATTCCTGTTCGTTAATCAGAGAGATGGAATGTTCACTCTAAAAGCTGATTTGCATCTACATCTCAATTCTGGTCCTCATAGCTTCTTGATGGATTTCATAATATAGAAGCAATTAGAAGGTTTTATGGCGAGCTTTATGGCTTGGTTTACCCACACAAACAAGTAAATGTTTGTATCAAACAAATTCATTTTACATTATCTCTCCCAGACATGACGCTAAATTGAATGGAGGAAACCTCTCTTTTTAAAAGCCACCTCATTATGTAAAGATAAAAATGGGATTGTTACTTCTCCCCACACCTCCCTGAAGCCTTTTATAGTGTCCCTGATTTTAGAAAGATTGCCAAATACTTGTAGTAGCTTTTTAAACACATATTTTTATCCTCTTTGATATTACTTACCTTCTGTGACTCATCATTGCCATTACCACCACTATTATCAACACCATCATCATCATGAGATGATAAGAGCCTGAGTGGCGTAGGAGGCTAATGCCTCCTACTAAGGCAGCATTTAACATCCAGCTGCCTGCAATTACTGCGAGTTCAATTCTCACCAGGCTCAAGGTCGACTCAGCCTTTCATCCTTTCTAAGGTGGGTAAAATGAGGACCCAGTTTGTGGGGGCAATAAGCTGACTTTGTATAAAATATACAAAAGTATGAAGGCTATTGCATAACGCATTGTAAGCCGCTCTGAGTCTCCGGAGAAGGGCGGCATATAAAAATAAATAAATAAATAAATAAATAAATAAATATAAATAAATAAATAAATAAATAAATAAATAAATAAATAAATAAATAAATAAATCATTAATCTGTGGAGGTTGTGGGCTTTGGAGGTTTTTAAGAAGAGTCTTGATAGCCACTTCTCATGGATGGTTTAACTGGTTTTCCTACCCACTGCAGGGTTTAGGATTAAATTATTCTTATAGTCCCTTCTAATTCTGGAATTCTGTGATCATGCTGTTGATATTAATTATTGTAAAACACGAAGTAAGCAATGTCTCCTTGAAATTAAACTCTGTTCTTAGTGACTCCCTGAATGTGATCATGCAACAATATGCAAGTAGTTGTCTTCTACTGATTAGTCAAGCAATCATCTCATTCTCAGATCATGACATCAGTATAGTAAAACAGAGTAAAATCAATGCAACATATTTGTGTTCAGTAAAATAGTCTAACTTCATCTTCTTAGCTATTGATCCCAAGCTGATCTTGGTAGGAAGTTCTTGGTTGAATGGCTTGAACTATAAACTTGGCAGCCTTTCTGACTGTCCATGTATTTGTACTTTAAATGAAGAAAGATAGCCTATTGATTGGATTTCTATAAGCTGTCCTGTCGATTAGGGACTCTGAATGCTGTATCCTGGCTAAGGCGTATAGCTGGCCATCACAGAGAATATATGCAGTGTCTTCTATATAGAATAGAATAGAATAGAATAGAATAGAATAGAATAGAATAGAATAGAATAGAATAGAATAGAATAGAATAGAATAGAATAGAACAGAACAGAACAGAACAGAACAGAACAGAACAGAATAGAATAGAAGTTTTTATTGGCCAAGTGTGATTGGACACATAAGGAATTTGTCTTGATGCATATGCTCTCAGTGTACATAAAAGATACGTTCATCAAGAATCATAAGGTACAACACTTAATGATAGTCATAGGGTACAAATAAGCAATCAGGAAACAATATCAATATAAATCGTAAGGATACAAGCAACAAAATTACAGTCATACAGTCATATATGTGGAACACCTTATAGATATTTCTTTTCTAAATATGGTGCTCGGAGGAATCCTCGTTTTATCATAGAGTCCAGTTCAAATGTTTCTCTGATTAAGGCTGCTCTCTGGCCTTGTGTTAGGCCCACTGTTGGGTATTTTTCTAGGTGGAAAGTCGTTTTATTCTGGGCCAATCACTTTAAGGACTTGATATTAGCAAGTGTTGCTATGTCAGCTTGAGCACTAATATCCAGGGCACTCTGTTTGAACAGCTAAACACAGACACAGAAATAGGATAAAAATAGGGTGAGATGAATCTGTAGCTGCAATGGAAAGAGAGAGAAGGTGGGGGAACAAAACCGGGTGGAGATGTAGAAAAAGGAAAAGTTAATTGAGGAGAGAAAGAAAGAAGGAAAGGAGAGAAATTACAAAAAAGATAAAAGCCTCCAGGTAAGTAACCCCTTGTAAGTACAGTATAGGCAGCCCTCAACTTAACAACCACAATTGGGATCAAAATTTCCTTTGCGAAGCAAGTTGGTAGTTCAGTGAGTCACACTCAATTTTATGATCTCTTTTGCCATGGTTGCTAAGTGAATCACTGGAGTGGTTAAAGTGAATCATGCAGTCATTAAGCAAATCCAACTTCCCCCCCATTGACTTTGCTTGTTGGAAGCCAGCTGGGAAGGTTCCAAATAATGATCACATGACTCTAAGACACTGCAGCCGTTGTAAATAAATGCTGGTTGCCAAGAAGCCAATACTATCACGTGACCGTGGGAATGTTGTGACGATCATCAGTGCAAAAACCAGTCATAAGTCACTTTTTGATGAGCCGGGGTGGCGCAGTGGTTAGAGTGTAGTACTGCAGGCTACTGCTGTTGATTGCCATCTTCCAGCTGTTCGGCAGTTCAATTCTCACCAGGCTCAAGGTTGACTCAGCCTTCCATCCTTCCGAGGTGGGTAAAATGAGGACCCAGAATTTTTTTTTTAAACAAGTTTTATTGGTTCCTCCCCACACTCACACGTTTACCCATATCTTTTTTGAACAGAGTATTGGCCATATCTTATCTTATACAATTAATCAAATTCAAATACATTTTACTCAATTATAGTTTTTGCCAAAATCTTTCCCCCCCTTTTTTTTATCATGTCTCAATATTTCTATGCTTACTTACATAAACAACATCTTCATTTGCCCTTAAATTCTATTTATTCATATTTGTTCTCTTTTATTCTTTAAACAACTCATTCTTTATCTTAATATCTTTATATTTGTTTGGGGTTGCCTTTCTTCCCTTTCATTTTTTTTATTGTACAGCAATCTTTCTCCTCAAACCTACCACCTCTCTCTTTTCTTTCCTTCTTACTTTCTCTTCCCCTCCTCTTCTCCTCTCTACTTCCCCTTCCTTTCTCCTTCTCCTCCTCTCTTCCTCCCTCTCTTACCCTCACTTCTACTCTAATTAATGAGGACCCAGATTTTGGGGGGTAATAGGCTGACTCTGTAAACCGCATAGGGAGGGCTGTAAAAGCACTGTGGAGCAGTATATAAGTCTAAGTGCTATTGCTATTGCTATTTTTTCAGTGCCATTGTAACTTTGAATAGTTGCTAAACAAATGGTTGTAAATCAAGGACTTGTTGTAAATCAAGGACTACCTGTAATCCCGAGTCTTCAGGGCTTTTCAACAGGGATACGTGCAGCATTTGTACTTGTATCCCTTCACTTGTTTTCAACATTGCTTTTAGCCAGTCTAAGATGATCTGATTCACAGATTATAGAAACCTTATTTTCTTATCAGGTAAATACAATATTATGAAAAGCCCAGATTTACTCAAAGATTTGCCAGCTATTTTTATTACAGAATTATCCCATAAGGGAAGGTTTTTTATATATATATAAGTAAAAGCATCATTTCAATTACAACCCAGTCTTTTCCATAAATATTTTGCATATTACTTGTATCCCCAAATAAACAAATATTTAAATACTTACCAGATTCATGGTCAGTATTGCTGGTATTTATTGTTATTGCTAGTGGTTAAAATAATCAGGATGGATCCAGTCAGAGGAACCCTACAGTAGGAAATTCTTTTTAATCTACCTGAATAACAGTGGTGGGTTCCGCCTGGTTCCGCCCAGTTCCGCCGAGCCGGTAGCGGTGATGATATGATGTCACCGAACCGGTTCTGCCCCCTCGCCCCCCCTTGCATTATTCTTACCTTTTATTTGGCCCCACCCCCAATCTATTGCTGCCTCCTGCGTCCCAGCTGATCGGCTAGAGGGGAAAAAACTGTTTAAACTCTTGCCGGGGGGCTTCAAAGGGCCGCCCTACAGCTGATCAGTGTTAAAAGAAAACAAATGAGTAGACCAGTGCCTGCAAAAATAAATGAGTAGACCGGTGCTTGCAAAAATAAATGGGTAGACCAGTGCCTGCGAAAATAAATGAGTAGACCAGTGCCTGCAAAAATAAATGGGTAGACCAGTGCCTGCAAAAATAAATGAGTAGACCGGTGCTTGCAAAAATAAATGGGTAGACCGGTACAGCTCTACAAGCAGTTAAAAACCAGGTAGACCAGTACCTCTGCTAAATCCTAAAGAATTGTCACATGACCATCAAACCATGCCCACAAAATAAGCCACGCCCACAGAACTAGTAGTAAAAAAAATTTAGAACCCGCCCCTGCTGAATAATATGAGTAGTACTAGAATTAGACAGGAATATTCCATAAATCCCAACAAAGTCCAGCTCAGGAAAATGCATCTTAAAATAAGAAATGATTTAAACTCTTTCTCTTCTTTTACAGTGTAGTAATGTGGAAGGTCTGTGTCCAATGAACTGCCGCGATGATGTAAGTTGCTCAGACTTTGCTTTTGCTCATATCTGTAATTCAGTGGTTCAGGGCCAAATTTACTTTCACGCTATATAGACAGCCTGAATCCAGCATAAGAGGAGACCCAGCATCACTATTCACCTATTGCTTGTCTTTCTTATGATGGTTTTTTTTTTTTAACAAATGAGACTGTGATAACAAAAGATGGTTATTTATAGAGCATTGCATGACTGCTTTACCTGAAAATCAGATCAGATGTGGTGGTGGATAGCAGGCTGAAAATCCCAATTTATTGTGAGTTGAAACAGGAGAAATCAAGAAAGTGAGCATTCTCAGAGGGAACTCTCTATTTTCTCCCAAAATAAAGTTCTCCCTTATTGTTAGAAGTTTCCAAAGACACAAAGAAGCCGGGGCATTTTGGAAGGCCTGTGGAGACCAATGTCAGGGCCAGCCATGGGTTTTGTTAGGCAGAATTGTTGCATTTAAAGTATTATTTTTATTGGTATTTTTCATTGGGGTATATACTCTATTATTTTAATGTAGATTGCTTAGAGTCATTCCAGATGACGGTATGTAGAAATCTGATAAACAAGTGAAAATAAATAGTTTTTCATAGGTCTGCCTCATTGACATAAAAAGGTAAAGGCTGCAAAACCTTTTATTTTCAGTAAACAAGAGCCTTGGTAGTACAGTGGTCTAAAGCACCCTGTTATTAAGAACAGCTGCCTGCAATTACTGCAGGTTCGAATCTCGCCAAGGCTCAAGGTTGACTCAGCCTTCCATCCTTTCTAAGGTAGGTAAATTGAGGACCCAGTTGTGGGGGGCAATAAGCTGACTTTGTATAAATATACAAAAGGATGAAGGCTATTGCTTAGCACATTGTAAGCCGCCCTGAGTCTCCGGAGAAGGGCGGCATATAAATCAAATTTAAAAAAAAAAAAAATGTTGCATTCCTTCTAGTATAACTTATGATGGACTCAAGGAGTGAGTGGCGAAAAGCAGCATGGGTAGGGTAAAACCCAAAATGGCTAAAACTCATCTTTTCTCCTTCCTCCCCTCTCCTCCCCTTTCCTCCCCTTTCCTTCCCTTCCCTTCCCCTTTCCTTTCCTTCCCTTCCCATTCCATCCCTTTCTTTTCCTTTCCCTTTCCCTTTCTTTCCCCTTTCCTTTCTTTTCCTTTCTTTTCCTTTCCCCTTCTTTCCCCTTTCCTTCCCTTCCCTTCTCCCTGATCTATAGTTTGTTGACCGACTGAAAGACTTTATTTTATTTATCATTTATTAGTTCAATTTATATGCCGCCCTCCTCCGAAGGCTCAGGGTGGCTTACAATGCACTTATAGCAATAGCCTTCATTCTTTTGTATATACCTGCTTATTAGGGCTTTTGGCCCCCCATAAGCGATGTTTCTACAAAGTCAGTTTATTACCCCCACAATCCGGGTCCTCAATTTACCTACCTCAGAAGGATGGAAGGCTGAGTCAACCTTGAGCCTGGTGAGATTTGAACTCGCACTTATTGCAGGCAGCTGGCAGCTAAGGGCTACATAACAGCACTTAGTCCGCTGCACCACCAAGGCAACTTCTCTTGCCAGAGATATAAACTGAGCCTTACATGATTTCAAAGATCTCATCTAAAAGAGATGAGATTGTTAACCCTTAGTCTAATTTTATGCAGTCTTCATGAGAGAGAAAGTTAAAAGTGGTACCATAAAAAGAGAGTGCTTAATCCCACCTATTTTGAATCTGGTCTCCTCATGGCTTGTTTCACCCCTGCCTGGTATTTCCCATAGGGATTCCTCCAACAGATTATTCTTGTAGGAATGCACCCCTCAACATGGAAATGCTGCTCTTGGAGATCTATTCTTGACTTAAAACTTCTTCCCAAACTTTAACCTTTTCCTGAAGAATCCATCTTTTTCTTCCTGCAGAAATTGAATTGCTACCTTATTGATAACAATGGATTCATACTTATTTCCAAAACCTCTCAACAGGTAAGAAGGGATGAATGAGTGGCTCTTGATCTTATTTATCAGGAGAAAGACTAAAGAGAACAGCCTGTATTCACTACCTGTGTTTCCAAGGTTGCTCACATTTACCCTCCTGCAAAGCCTGGTATACAATTCTGAATGCCACCTGTTCTTCATATTGTAGAAAAAGAGAAATATTCATTACATGTGAGATGATTATATCAGCCACATTTAATCATTTGAAATAGAAACATCAAATAAATACATCAAATTATGTTCTTCTCCTAGCTGAATATAGCTTGTTATACCCCATCAATGTTTGGAGTGTAACCCTGCCATGACACTCAAAACCCCAGTGAAACAGAGCTTGCCATTAGACTACTGTGGCTGAGATTCCACCTCACATTGAAAGTGTAGGTTTTCATTGTTAGGAAGAATGGTATGGAGTTAAGTGCAAAACTCCTTCTTGAACCAGCATTGTGTGAAGACATTTCCATGGTCATATGGCTGGCACGACTAAACGCCAAGGCACATGGAACACATTTACCTTCCCACCGAAGTGGTACCTATTTATCTACTCGCGTTTGCATGGTTTCGAACTGCTAGGTTGGCTGGGGCAGGAATGGGAGCTCACCCCAACATGCAGTATTTGGTGTCAACTTGCAAAGCTTTCAAGTTGCCATGAGCAGGAGGGAGGGAGAACTGAAGTGAATTCCATACATTTTTCTGACCGCAATCAGAAGGAGGGTGTTAGGTTTCACAGCCAGCCAAAGTGGTTAATTGGAGAATGTGATTTATGACATGGCCAGGGGGGAGGGGAGAGACAGGGTCATAGGGAACGTAAATCTATGTGGGATCAGTCCTGACTGCATCCGAATATTGCCGGAATGTTGCTCCTAATAAATCACTATATTTCCTTTGAGTTTGGATCATGGCTCATGAATTAATTAGGGCATCTTTCGGAAACTTGGGTGTTGAATTGCCAACCTTTTGATCAACAAACACAGCTTTTTAACTGCTAGGCCAAAATTACCTGCTTTTTAAACTATGTTTAGATGCATATGAGTAAGTACTGAAGACTTTTAAGGAGCCTGTCAACTCCTATTTTGACAGAGTCAAGTCAGACTAAATGTATCTTAAGTAAACAAAATGTTTTGATAGATGTCGGAGATCTTCTTCACATACTAATGCATTATAATAATATTGAAACATGAATCAGGCACAATATTACTGCATCAACGTAAAGAATTGGGTAAAGAAAAGATAAGGAAAAGGAAGAAGGTTGCAGTGCCTTTCCAGGATTAGAACTGGAAAACACAAGAACATTAAGAAGGGAGCGTGTGCTTCCTATCCCATCAGAAACTTCCTTGGGCTAAAGTGACCTTAAACTACAAGGAGATTTGAACAAAATAGCTTAATTGCCTTGATACCTTCCATCTCAGCAGAGGCAGCACTATTTGAATAATACATCAAGTGTTCAAACTCTTTGCATTTATTCTTTCCTTCATCCTTACAAAGTAGGGCATTATTATTATCTTGCCCATTGAAGGCAACACATAATGGTTTGTCTAAAGCTTGCCTCAATCTCCAATGATCTGAAGCCTCACACTGTGTTCATACAGCATGCTCCAACCAGCAAGCTGTACAGATTTACTCATTTTCTGGGTACATTAACCAATGAACTAGATTTGCTTAACAAGCCCAATCAACTATAAAAAGGAGGGGGGTAAGTTAACTCTTAACAGGTTTAGCAAATTTGGTATGCATTTGCTATGCGTTTACTCAGCCTGATTATAAGAACATAGATAGTGAGTTCAAAGCTAAACTGAGCATGGACTTCAGGTTTTTTTTTCAATTTAATGTGTCTTACTGTGCTTTCACTTTTTTCCCCCCCAAACAACTGAAGTATATAGTTGAACATTATGCCCTTAAAGGCTCTTAGGGGGAGAGCCTTCTCTGTGGGGGCACCTACTATCTGGAATGAGCTCCCCCCGGAGATACGGAGGATCCCGGATTTGCGCACCTTCCGCTGCGCTTTGAAGACCTTTTTATTCCACCAGGCGGGCCTGGCCTAATCTTTTTTCCTCTTTTCTTTTTAAACATGCAAATTTTAATCTGTTTTTAAATGACTGGGGTGTTTTAATTTGTCTGGGCCAAATTGTCTAATTTGATTTTATCCTGTTTTTAAATTTTGTATTCATGTATTTTATTGTTTGGCTGTTCACCGCCCTGAGTCCTTCGGGAGTAGGGGGGTATACAAATCAAATAAAGATAAAGATAAAGCTACATAATAATCAGTAAGTACTTCAGCCTTGCAGCCTGTGGCAACATTCACACAGCAACTATAAACCTGGTTACTGAATTAATTCTTTTTCAGGTTCTCAAGATATAGTGAACTATAAACAAATCAGCAGTCTTGTTTGCAACATGCTAAGACACTTTTTTAAAAGCCTATTCAAACCAAGGATAACAATCAATTTTATCCTGTTGTATTATTACTGTTAGTTAGTCCTACTATATTGCTATTGTATTACTGGTGAATATTAAACTCACCTGCTTAAGAATGCTCTGCAAAACAAAACTTATGATTTAAAAACTCTCCAGAAACTCTGTTTTTATATCATACCTGCTTGTGGTTGCAGATTGGAAAATTCTTGGGAGAAATAGATGGTTCTGTTACGACTCAACTCGCAAATATGGGAATGCTCAAAGAGTAAGTGTCATCATCTCTTCCTTATATTCACCTCCTTTCAAAGAAAACCCTGTTTGAAGCAAAATGCTTCACAGCATAAATATAATCAAAACAAGGGTGGAGTTGTTTAAAGACCCATAGACACAAGAGGGTTAGCTACACTCAGAATCTTCCAATGCTAATTGTGTAGGATCAGAACGTGTCCATAGAGGAACCCAATGGCATGATAGGATAGAATGGAATGGAATGGAATGGAATGGAATGGAATGGAATAGAATAGAATAGAATAGAATAACAGAGGTGGAAGGGACCTTGGAGTCTTCTAGTCCAACCCCCTGCTTAGGCAGGAAACCCTACACCACTTCAGACAAATGGTTTCCAACATATTATTTAAAACTTCCAGTGTTGGAGCATTCACAACTTCTGGAGGCAAGTTGTTCCACTGATTAATTATTCTAACTGTCAGGAAATTTCTCCTTAGTTCTAAGTTGCTTCTCTCCTTGATTAGTTTCCACCCATTGCTTCTTGTCCTGCCCTCATGCTTTGGAGAATAGCTTGACTCCCTCTTCCTTGTGGCAGCCCCTGAGATACTGGAACACTGCTATCATATCACCCCAGTCCTTCTTTTCATCAGACTAGACATCCCGGTTCCTGCAGCCATTCTTCATGTTTTAGCCTCCAGTCCCCTAAGCATCTTTGTTGCTCTTCTCTGTACTCTTTCTAGAGTCTCCACATCTTTTTTACATCATGGCGACCAAAACTGAATGGGTAGGGTAAAGTTGTCATCTGATGAGAATTTCAAGCAGCAATTCTTTGCTGCCATCTAGTTGTTGTCTGCAATTTGGCATCTCAGATTTGGGAAGCTCTAGCCACCTGCTAGGTTCTTTCACCACTTTGAAAGAGCCACCATGGTTGCTAGTGGCCCCTGAGAGTGTTGTATGTGGGTGCGCGCAAGCCATAGGTTCCTTCAGTGTAGCCACTAGATTTCTAAATGAGAATTGATGTTGGGATGGGGATAAGAGCCGAGGTGGCACAGTGGTTAGAGTGCAGCTACTTCAGCTGACTGCTAGTTCAGCAGATCAGCAGATCAAATCTCACCGGCTCAAGGTTAACTCAGCCTTCCATCCTTCCGAGGTGGGTAAAATGAGGACCCAGATTGTTGGGGGCAATATGCTATTTAGTATACTGTCTTTGGTGTAAGCCGCCCAGAGTCCTCGGAGAATGGGCGGCATAGAAATACGAAAAATAAATAAATAAATAAATAAATAAATAATTCCCCAGCAAGAACTTTGACTTGGGACCCAAATTGCTCTTCTTATGCTCTGAAAGTCCCATATTCCCAATAATACTAAAGACTAAAATAAAGAAAGCCAGGATGAAGATAGTGGACAATAGTGAAAGAGCCAGTTTGGTGTAGTGGTTAAGGCACCAGGCTAGAAAACAGGAGACCATGAGTTCTAGTCCTGAAAATCAGTGGGTGACTTTGGGCCAGAACATTCACTATCAGCCCAATTCACTTTACAGGGTTGTTGTGGGGAAACTAGGAGGAGGAAGGTGTGTTGGATGTGTTTCCCACCTTGAATTATTTGTAAAAATAATGAAGACAGAATATAAATAAATAAAATTCTGGTTTTGTTGTTGACTTTGTTCCCTATAATACATATTTGTTCTAAAGAACTGCAGGTATTGTCTCACTACTTTGGCAACTACGATATGCAAAGTACATTATTATAGGTGCAATCTATCTGTAATGATATAATAAAAAATCTTTGATTAGAGGCATTTCTGTTGACTAGCTCAGCCATTCTTAAGTTTATGCAGCATGTGAACAAATATTTAATATCAATATATTTCACCACCCATATTTTGAAATGCAGCTAAAAAGATGTGAAGAAAACAGTTTCAAACTCATACCTTTATGTTAGCATAACTGTCAGAAGTCAGACACACACAGTATTCCTATTTTTTCAGAGTAACCAATTCTGGTTTATTCATGCTTCAAACTTGGACACTTCATATATTATCAGTTCCAGCATGAAAATCAGAATGAAAAGGGCAGATGTTACCCTGTGGATCATCCCCACTTAATTACTTGCTATCTCAATCTCTTTGGTGCTTACAAACAGTGGTGGGTTCCTCCCGGTTCGGTCAGGTTCGGCCGAGCCGGTAGCGGTGACGATATGAGGTCACCGAACCGGTTCTCCCCCCCCGCCCTCCCCCCCACCCACGTTATTCTTACCTTTTATTTGGTCCCACCCCCAATCTATTGCTGCCTCCTGAGTCCCAGCTGATGACTAGAGGGAAAAAAACTGTTTAAACTCTTGCCGCGGGGCTTCAAAGGGCCGTCCTACAGCTGATCAGTGTTAAAAGCAAACAAATGAGTCGGGTTGTAATTGCGAGGACTGGTCGTAAGTGCGAGGACCTTCCAGAAATGACTCTGACCAGCTAGCCACGCCCACCTAGTCACATGACCTCCAAGCCACACCCACAAAATAAACCACGCCCACAGAACCGGTAGTAAAAAAAATTAGAACCCACCCCTGCTTACAAATACTAGTTTTACATTTGGTGTAGTATAGAAGTTTTGATTGCCAGTTGGTTTCAGGTTCAAAGACCACATTTCTGAGAAAGTCTGTTATCTGGGACCATTGAAATTCACTGCCACTCTCTGTAGATGAAAATAACGTATGTTTGCCCTACAAACTAGTATGCAAAGGGTCCAAGTCAGGTACATGTAAGCAAAAAGGATACAAGGAGCACAGCCAGAGCTTTCTCGCATAACGTTCAGTACAATTTGAGTCTGGTCAAAGAAAATAACACAGCTGCTAGAGCTAGGTGGGCAGGGCCGGATTTAGATGAAAAGAGGCCCTAGGCTATTCCACTTATGAGGCCCTTTCACCAGTGGTGGGATTCAATTTTTTTAACAACAGGTTCTGGCTTAGAACGGGGGTGTGGCTTGGCAATCATGTGACTGAGTGGGCGTCGCTAGCTGGTCACATGACTGTGTAGGCGTGGGTAGCTCGTCATGTGACCGGGTGGGCGTGGCTATGTGCATAGGGACTACTCAGAGGGCTGAAAAAAGTCATTTCTGACTGGGCCTCGCACTTTTGATCGGTCCTCACACGTATGACCATCCTCACATTTATGCCCGTGCAGCTTTCTTAACAACCATGTCACTCATTTCACAACTGCTTCTCTTCACCATGGTGACAAGATAGGGCAATGTGAGGACAGTCGTAAGTTCAAGGACTGGTCAAAAGTGCGAGGACCAGTCAAAAATAACTTTTTGAGCCCTCTGAGTAGTCCATATGCACAAAAGGACTACCCAGAGGGCTGAAAAAAGTGATTTCTGACAGGTCCTCGCACTTTTGACCGGTCTTCGCACTTATGACTGGTCATCATTTATGCCCATTGTAGCATTCTTAACAACCATGTCACTCATTTCACAACTGCTTCTCTTCACCATGGTGACAAGATAGGGCAAAAACGTAAAATGTGAGGACAGTCGTAAGTTCGAGGACTGGTCAAAAGTGCGAGGACCAGTCAGAAATAACTTTTTCAGCCCTCTGAGTAGTCCATATGCATAAAAGGATACAGCAATAGAGAGGGATGAAGGAAGGGAAGGAAAATTAGAGTAGGAGTGAGGGTAAGAGAGGGAGGAAGAGAGGAGGAGAAGGAGAAAGGAAGAGGAAGTAGGGAGGAGAAGAAGAGGGGGAGGAAGAGAAAGTAAGAAGGAAAGAAAAGAGAGAGGTGGTAGGTTTGAGGAGAAAGATTGCTGTACAATAAAAAAGATGAAAGGGAAGAAAGCCAACCCCAAACAAATATAAAGATATTAAGATAAAGAATGAATTGTTAAACTTTAAAGAATAAAAGAGAACAAATATGAATAAATAACAATAATTAGAAACACACATACAAACATACAATGTATTTTCTTTGAACAGAGTATTTGGCCGGTTCACAAATTTAAACAGTGTTTAGTCATTTCAATTAAATTTACAATTTCTATATTTCCTTTTTGCCATATTTATTCCTCATCTATTTTTGTAAAAAACCAATATTACCCTTCATCCTCATCTCTAATCTTAATCAAATTCAATTTTTCCCTTCTATTCTATATTATACCCCTTCCCATTGTCATCTATTTTTATATCCATCCTCACATTGGTTAATTATGTAATATTAGTTGTTTAATATAAATTCAACATTTTAATATAAATCAATTAGTTATATAACTACCTTTTTTGTATATTAATCAACATGAACATGAATATTCCAATTATTTCCATGCAATCCAATTTCTTACAAATCAATTAATTATATTTACCAATAATAATAAACCAAATAATTTCCCCCATATATTCCTCCAAACCACAACTTAACCATTTCTGCTTTCAACACAATATACAATTAATAGTATCTCAATTATTACAATTCCCTAGTTAAATAGAGCTTTTTTTCTTTTGTGTTTTAAAATCCTGAACTCTCCTCTTTTTCCCTAAATTTCCCATTGTTTGCACGTACCTTTTTTGGTGAGGAAAAAGAAAAGAATTCTGCCTGCCTAATTTTCCAACCTTGCAGCAACAGCAAAGCAGTTTCAGTTTCGTTTCTTTGCAAGGAAGCAGAAGAGCCCTGAGCAAAACAGCCGAGACAAATCAGCTGAGAGCCGGGAGGCCAATTAGCCTATGCTGAAGCTCCGTGGGCCAATAAAATTACAAAAAAAAACACCGAACCCTTTGTTAAATTGCTGGCTCCCCCGCCCCCCACCCCCAGAATCCCACCACTGTGTAGGCCCCTCTTGATCTTGAGGCCCTAGGCTGAAGCCTAGTTAGCCTATAGGAAAATCCGGCCCTGTAGGTGGGAAAAGTGTCTGAGATGCAATTTGGAGTGAATAGCATAGTAGCTGTGGTTGTTTTGGTAAATAATATATAGTATTTTTCACATTGCAAGAGCACATTGCAAATGTAGTAAGAAATCTCTTCTTGGAATATAGCAGATAACACATTATACATAGTATTGAATCTTGCTGTGCAATATCCAGCTGGGGGCATAAATGTACTGTAGGTATTTGCTTAGAGTGTGAACTAAAGACAGTAATGTGCATTAACTGAATTTAAATCTAGGCTAAAGTCATATGCAAGGCAGAAGAATATGTTTGCCCCAGAGGTGGGTTTCAGCAGCTTCTGACCAGTTCTGGGGAACCGGTAGTGGAAATTTTGAGTAGTTCAGAGAACTGGTAAATACCACCTCTGACTGGCCCCGCCCCCATCTATTCTCTGCCTCCGGAGTCCCAGCTGATCGGAAGGAAATGGGGATTTTGCAGTATCCTTCCCCTGGAGTGGGATGGGGATGGAGATTTTACAGTATCTTTCCCCTGCCACACCCACCAAGCCACGCCCACAGAACCGGTAGTAAAGAAAATTGAAACCCACCACTAGTTTGCCCCTGGGGGATTGTAATGCACTTGTAGCGTATATGCCTTGATTAATTTCTGCCATTTCCACTAAAAAGGATCCTGAAGAGCAGAACTTTGAAAAAAACACTTTGAAATGCCATTGCTAAATCAAGCAGCCTTGGGGTGGGTAAACTGATAGCTTTTAGAATAAGGTGGAAATTCTACTCCAGTAGAATCCCCACCAGCCTTGCTAGGGAATTCTGGGAGTTGAAATCCACCCAACTTAAACTCGCCAAAGTTGAGAAACGCTGCTCTACACAACAGCTCACGGTCACTTTTGTGTTTCTGCAGGGTGAAGATGTTTGATTACCAAGCCATGTGTAAAGTGCCCCATCACCATCACAGTGGTGCCCGTCCTCTTCTCAGCGTAAGTATCTCCATATCATAAACCACCATCATGAAGTCACAGTGGAGGCTTGGCGCCTAGAACAGAACGATGCAAAGAAGCTCATAAATGCTTTTCTTTCTGATGAGATTGGTTGTTTTTGTTCTTCTAGAACAAAAGGGAAAAAAAATAGAATATAGACTCATAGAGGTGGAAGGGACCTCACAGTTCTTCTGGTCAAACACCTGTTTAAGGCAAGAGACCTTATATCATCCTGGTCAAATGATTGCCCTGTCTATTTTTGAAAACCTCCAATGATGGAGCACCCACAACTCCTGGAGGCAAGCTATTCCGTTGATTAATTGTTCTTACTGTCAGAAAATTTCTCCTTCCTCCTGCAGACAAAGGCAGATAAAGAAGACATGGCATATCCATCTATATATGTTTTTTTTCCATTCTATAATTGGCAGAGCATTCTGAAAGAAAAAAAGCTGTACAGGCCACTACATACATCTGAGCATCTGTACATGAAGACTAGCAAAGAATTAGACCAAGGCTGACAAATTCGCGGCCCGCAGGCCAGATGCATCATGTTCTGGCCACGCCCATGCCTGGTTTAGCAAAGGGGGGGGAAGCCACGATACGTTACATGACGATGCTGTGACAACACGAGTTTGACACCCCGGAATTAGACAGTCCTTTAGAACAAGGTGGGATTTCAACTTTGTAATCATTGTGTTGGTGGACAAATTGGTCAGTGTTGAAGATAAACTTTCCGCAGCCAAGTTCAAAAGCCTTGAGTTCTATGAGAAAGGATTCTCATGAAATTGCTGGATTTCATGCAGGTAACATTAGATTTCCACGATCATTTGGCTTCCAGTCCACGCACTCTGCTAGACCAGAAGTAAAAACAATGGGCACTTGAAGGAAGCATTATGAATATCATCGCCTGGAGTTCCTTAATGGAAGAAGGGATGTAAATCACTCCCTTCATTTGTTCATTTTCTGAGTCGTACTTGGCAATTGGGTGCAATTAAAACCTGAGCAAATGAGGTTCATGCAGAAGGAATAAGCCAAGTTTTTTTGGGGTGAGGGGCAGGGAGAGAGAGCACTTTTAAGATGAATTGGCTGAGTACTCCAGCCTTGATTCTGTGATCTCTCCCATGAGTTATTTGTACTGGACAAGTGACAGCGCATATATATTAATTTAGAGAAGATGGATGTTACCAAGCAAATTCATTCTAGGTTGGGAAAGTGAAGGGTGAACTTTTCATTCTTTCGGTTCTTGCTTTATATGTGCATTTGTTTCTTTAGCAAATAAACCATATATGGCTCAAATTACAGTAATTACATTGGACCATCTAGAGCAGGGGTGGGTTCTAAATTTTTTTACTACCGGTTCTGTGGGTGTGGCTTATTTTGTGGGCGTGGCTTGATGGTCATGTGACAATTCTTTAGGATTTAGCAGAGGTACTGGTCTACCAGGCTTTTAACTGCTTGCAGAGCTGTACCGGTCTACCCATTTATTTTTGCAGGCACCGGTCTACTCATTTATTTTTGCAGGCATCAGTCTACTCATTTGTTTTCTTTTAACCCTGATCAGCTGTAGGGTGGCCCTTTGAAGCCCCGCGGCAAGAGTTTAAACAGTTTTTTCCCTCTAGCCAATCAGCTGGGACTCAGGAGGCAGCAATAGATTGGGGGTGGGGCCAAATAAAAGGTAAGAATAATGCAGGGGTGGCGCGAGGGGCAGAACCAGTTCGGTGATATCATATCATCACCGCTACCGGCTTGGCAGAACCGGGAGGAACACACCACTGATCTAGAGCCATATTTGATTAGCAAACTCTTAAACCTACTAGCTCCATTCTATACAGAAAATCCAGAAAAAAACTGTTAGCTCCCAGAAATTTTTTAATAGGTTCCTTTACCTAGTAACAATAAGATTTCGGGATCGGGCGGCTGGTGGGGCCTTGGACCGAGTTGTGCCTTTGCGGCCTCTGACCCGATGCCGATCCCGGGCGGCTCCTTGGTTTACTGAGGAGCTGAGGGAAATGAAGCGCCGGAAAAGACGCCTGGAGAGCGGTTGGAGGGCCAGTCTCGCTGAATCTGATCGAACACTGGTAAGGTCGCATATTAAGGCCTACCTAGTGGCGATAAAGACAGCAAAGTCTAACTACTTTTCCGCCTCTATTGCGTCATCAGGGAATCGTCCGGCCGCCCTGTTTAGGGTGACCCGCACCCTGCTCCATCTGGGAGTGTGGGAGGATCCCTTAGAAGGCAGGGCGGAGGATTTCGGACAATACCTGTATGACAAAATCGCTCAGATCCGGGGGGATTTGGACTCTGACTGGGTAGATCAGGACAGGGTGACGAGGAACAGTCTTGAGAATGTTATCTGGGAGGAGTTTGATGCTGTGACTCCCGATGATGTGGACAGGATTTTGGGGAGACTTAGTGCGGCCACATGTTTACTGGACCCGTGTCCCTCCTGGTTGGTACTGGCTTCCCGGGAGGTTACACGAGGCTGGCTCCAGGGCGTTATTAATGCTTCGTTGAGTGAGGGTCACTTCCCCGCTGCCCTGAAAGAGGCGGTGGTGAGGCCTCTCCTCAAGAAGCCGTCCCTGGACCCAGCAATATTGGCTAACTATCGTCCTGTCTCCAACCTTCGCTTCATTGCGAAGGTTGTTGAGAGTGTGGTCGCGCAACAGTTTCCACAATTCCTGGAGGAAACATCCTATCTAGATCCGTTCCAGTCGGGTTTCAGGTCTGGGCACAGCACGGAAACGGCATTGGTTGCGTTGGTTGATGATCTCTGGAGGCCTCGGGACAGGGGTTATTCCTCTGTTCTGGTCCTATTAGATCTCTCAGCGGCTTTTGATACCATCGACCATGGTATCATGCTGCACCGGCTGGAAGAGTTGGGGGTGGGAGGCACTGTGTTGCGGTGGTTCTCCTCCTTTCTCTCCGACCGGTCGCAGTTCGTGTTGGCAGGGGGGCAGAGGTCGACCTCGAGGCCTCTCATTTGTGGAGTGCCGCAGGGATCGGTCCTCTCGCCCCTTCTGTTCAACATTTATGTGAAGCCGCTGGGCGAGATCATCCATGGCTTTGGGGTGAGATACCACCAGAGCTGATGACACCCAGCTGTACATCTCCACCCCAGGCCACCCCAACGATGCCCTTGAAGTGATGTCCCAGTGCCTGGAGGCTGTGCGGATCTGGATGGGGATGAACAGGCTCAGGCTCAACCCTTCCAAGACTGAGTGGCTGTGGCTCCCGGCATCCCGATATAGTCAGTTGACTCCATCACTGACTATTGGGGGTGAGTCTTTGGCCCCCACAGAGAGGGCTCACAATCTGGGAGTCCTCCTGGATAGGCAGCTGTCTTTGGAGGAACATCTGACGGCTGTTACCAGGGGGACCTTTTATCAGGTTCGCCTGATTCGCCAGTTGCGGCCCTTTCTTGATCGGGATTCCTTGTGCACAGTCACTCACGCCCTCGTCACCTCTCGCCTTGACTACTGCAATGCTCTCTACATGGGGCTCCCCTTGAAGAGCACCCGGAGGCTCCAGCTGGTCCAGAATGCAGCAGCGCGGGTAGTGATGGGAGCAACATGGCGCTCCCATGTAACACCACTCCTGCGCGAGCTGCACTGGCTCCCGGTGGTCTTCCGGGTGCGCTTCAAGGTGTTGGTTATCACCTTTAAAGCGCTCCATGGCATTGGGCCTAGCTATCTCCGAGACCGCCTGCTGCTACCGATGTCTTCCCATCGACCCGTGCACTCCCACAGAGAGGGCCTCCTCAGGGTGCCATCAGCCAAGGCTGGTGGCCCCCAGGGGGAGGGCCTTCTCTGTGGGGGCTCCCACCCTCTGGAATCAGTTGCCCCCGGAGATAAGAAGAATCCAGGACCTCAATGCCTTCCGTCGTTCCCTGAAAACCTATCTTTTTCAACAAGCCGGGTTGGCTTAAGAAGAAATTTTTAAAATTTTTAAATTCTTTTAATTAGTCTGTGATTCTTAACTTTCGGGCCAAAATTTATATATATTTTTAAATGTTTTAATATTTGTATTCTATGTTTTTTATCTTGGCTGTACACCGCCCTGAGTCCTCAGGGAGAAGGGCGGTATATAAATTGGAAATTAAATTAAATTAAATTAAATTTTCTACTATGATTGAATTGATTTGTTCTATTTGGCTGAGTTTAACTAATTTGCAAAGACACAATTCGGTGTAGTGGTTAAGGCATCAAGTTTGAAACTGGTAGACCGAGTTCTAGTCTCACTTTAGGCACAAAGCCACCTTGGGCCAGTCACTTTCTTTCAACCCTAGGAAGCAGACAATGGCAAACTACTTCTGCAAAATTTTGCTAAGAAAATGGCAAGAAGTTATTCCAAGAATTGGACACAATTGAACAGAAGAAAAAAAAACATTTATATTATGTTAACAATGAAGGACCTTTACTAGAATGATATTGTCTTTATAAACAGACCCAGTGGTGGATTCAGCCAGTTCGCACCTATTCGGGAGAACTGATTGTTAACTTTCTAAGCAGTTCGGAGAACTGGTTGTTGGAAGAAACCTTATTTTGTTTTTTCCCACTTTACAGGGCTAATCCTGTAAGGAAGGCAGGAAGGAAACATTCTGGTGTTGTTTCTAGCCTAATCTTTATTGCCCTCCTTACAGAAACTGCCTCACTGGTTAACCTTATTACATTGTAACAGCTAAGGCGAAGCGCCCATCAATGTGAGTGACATTGAGTTGGCCATGCCCACACAGTCACATGACCACCGAGCCACACCTACCCAGCTGGTCATTAGGGCAGAGAATCGGTTGTTAAATTATTTTGAGCCGAGGTGGCGCAGTGCTTAGAGTGCAGTACTGCAGCTACTTCAGCTGACTGCTAGTTCAGCAGATCAGCGGATCAAATCTCACCAGCTCAAGGTTGACTCAGCCTTCCATCCTTCCGAGGTGGGTAAAATGAGGACCCAGATTGTTGGGGGCAATATGCTATTTAGTATACTGTCTTTGGTGTAAGCCGCCCAGAGTCCTTGGAGAGTGGGCGGGATAGAAATATGACTAATAAAAATAAATAATAAAAAAATAATTTGAATCCCACCACTGGACAGACCCTTCTTCCTTCCTTTTTATTCAAACTGATCTCAAGTCTCGTAAAATGATTGCCCATTTGTCTTTAAGGTTGAATTGCATATGTTTAGAAATTCAAGGACCTTTTAACCACATACGGCTATACATCCTGAAGATGATAGTGTTAATTTGGCTTCATTTGTCTGGTCATAACGAGGAAGACTTAGATTTATAGCAAAAGTAGCTTAGAAGTATTCATAAGAAGACAAAGTCAATGTTAATGTAAAATTAATATAACCCATCATTATAACATTATTCCTACTGTGACAAAAAAACCTGGTAGCTTTACTACCCAGAATACTTTGGGTTTTGTTAAAAGAGTGCAGAGAAGAGCAACAAAGATGATTAGGGGACTGGAGGCTAAAACATATGGAGAACGGGTTGCAGGAACTGGATATATCTAGTTTAATGAAAAGAAGGACTAGGGGAGACATGATAGCAGTGTTCCAATATCTCAGGAGCTGCCACAAAGAAGAGGGAGTCAAGCTATTCTCCAAAGCACCTGTGGGTAGAACCAGAAGCAATGGGTGGAAGCTAATGAAGGACAGAAGCAACTTAGAACTAAGGAGAAATTTCCTGACAGTTAGAACAATGAATCAGTGGAACGACTTGCCTTCAGAAGTTGTAAATGCTCCAACACTGGAAGTTTTTAAGAAGAGATTGGACAACCATTTGTCTGAAGTGGTGTAGGGTTTCCTGCCTAAGCTAGAAACTAGAAGACCTCCAAGGTTCCTTCCACCTCTGTTATTCTATTCTATTCTAAAATGAACAATATGTTCAGTACTGCGTGATCCAAAACAGCTGTTTAGGGGAGGTATTGATTGTTCAGCTCCACAAATAACTGGATTTTTTTTTCTTATATACATAATCTTTTAAGCTTTTTCCACTAGAAAAACTTTATTTTCAAAATATTTTATATATTTTCTCTTAAATGTCCTGATTTATCATTAGTAGAAAAGACAACTGATTTGGATACATTTTGTATAATTCCTGCAAATTCTTAAAGAAAGCCATTTAAGTTATTAAGGGAAACAAAAATTGAAATTGTGCACTATGTAAGATGCTTACAGCTTTTTCTTTTGAGACTTAGTCGTTCTTTTTTCAACAGCCAATTTATACATTATTGGCAGCAGCAAAATGGATGATCACCGATTTCTTCATGTGAGTATGAATGTTTGGGAATTCTAGCGGAAAATTGCATCTGAAGAAATTATGTTTCAGCATTTAATCAGTATGTTAAGCATTGAATGTTTGAGGTCCTTAGATTAAGCATATTCTTAACTGTTTATAATATTGTTGTTCTGAAATTTTATTGTAATAGGAAAATGAATAAGAAAATATTAAAGCAACTTCAAAGTGCCCAGCAGTGTTAAGAAATATACAATTTCCCCTACAGGGTATTGACCAGTTAAAATAAGACTGCAATTCCCAGCATGGAGATGTTGCAATACTTTGATGTAAATCAAGAAGTATCTACGAGTCTTCAGAATTACTCTTAATTTCTCCAATTCAGCCAACTGGGTGTTCTAAAGTGATCTGCGTGAATGAAGACAAATAGAATAGAATAGAATGAATAGAATAGAATAGAATAGAATAGAATAGAATAGAATAGAATAGAATAGAATAGAATTCTTTATTGGCCAAGTGTGATTGACACACCAGGAATTTGTCTTTGGTGTATATGCTCTCAGTGTACATAAGAAGAACAAAATAAATTCATCAAGAATAAAAAGATACAACACTTAGTGATAGTCAAAATTACTAATAAGCTATCAAATCGTACTAGGAAACAAATAAAAACAATATAATTGAAAGATGCAAGCAACATAGTTATAGTAATAAGTGGGAAGCGAAGGAAGAGAAGAGAAGAATAATAGTAATGCAGCCTTAGTGAATAGTTTGACAGTGTTGTGGGAATTAGTTGTTTAGCAGAGTGATGACATTTGGGGAAAAACTGTCCTTGTGTCTAGTTCTTCTGGTGTGCAGTGCTCTATAGCGTCTTTTTGAGGGTAGAAGTTGAAACAATTTATGTCCAGGATGCAAGGTGTCCATAAATATTTCACAGCCCTCTTTTTGACTTATGCAGTATATAGGTCCTCAACGGAAGACAAGTTGGTAGCAATTGTTTTTTTTCTGCAGTTGTATTCTAATGATTTGGAAAGAGGTCATTCTGTTCCTGGGCACGTGTATTAAGGCCGTTTCCTTTACCTGCCGCTTTATCAATGGGAGACCAGGGATTTTTAGTAAGAAAGATTTGCTAATAATAGAGACATCTGGGGCTGGAGATTCAATGATGCTACGGGTCTCAGATGAAAAGGTTGTCTCCAAATGCCTCTGAGCATGGAACCAGATTCCAAGATACTTGCAGAGATTAATTTGTCAGGCATACTCAACAGCTGTTGCTGTATATCACATACCAGTGATTCACTATGGTCAAACAGATGGTTTTCAAGGTGACTGAGAATATTTCCCTCCCAGCTTCTGAGAGCACAGAGTTAATGATAGTCTTGCCACTGGAATGGCTACTAATTTTTATGAGAATTAAGACGCAATTACCCAGTCAAAAAGTAAGGAAGAAGGATTTTTAAATGCCTGGTTCAGGCAAGAAACAAGTGTAGCTTCAAGGCAAATTTTAAGCGGCAAATCAGAAGTACCTGCCTGTTTTACAACAGCTCTGCCCTTCTGGGCTGACATAAACTACTTCATATTTCTCTTCTTTGACAGATTCCTTTTGGAATTTAACATTTTTAGTTTCTGGCACACGGATAACTTGGCTGATGGTGAGTATGCAGGATTACCGAAAATACATAGCAGCCACAACGTTTGGATGAAAAAGTTATAAACCGCGGCGGTTTTCACATTTTGTTACCACCGGTTCGCCCCACATGTGCACGCTCACTTCACACGCACACACATCTTCTGGGCATGAGCCCGGCCTTCCGTGCATGCGCCCGGTCTCAGAAAGGTGCCTAGCACCAGGGTGGGGGGTGGGCCCACCAGCGATCTCCGCTACCAATTCGCCTGAACCAGTATGAACTGGCTGAATACCACCTCTGGTTATAAGTAATAATGCAATCTAGCACAGCCTGAAAATTGTCACTTGTTAGTGTTAAGGATATTACATTTGGATTCCATTCATCTCATTTTTACCTCAGCATTAATTTGGCAAGGATTAATGGCATTGATTACTGTGGTACCTTAGATACATAGTCTGTAGCAGGCTGTCACAGAAGATAGGTAGAAGACCATTGAAAATTGTCAATGAAACTGTTCATTTATTCCAATTTGCTCAGGTATTTTAGTTGGATACATGAGGAAGTATCAATAGTGGACACTAGTGGTGAAATCCAATTTTTTTTACTACCGTGGGCATGGCTTGGTGGGCATAGCAGGGGAGGGATACTGCAAAATCTCCATTCCCACCCCACTTCTGGGGGAAGGATATTGCAAAATCTCCATTCCCACCCCACTCCAGGGGAAGGATACTGCAAAATCCCCATTCCCACCCCACTCCTGGGGGAAGGATATTGCAAAATCTCCATTCCCATCCCACTCTGGGGCCAGCCAGAGATGATATTTGCCGGTTCTCTGAACTTCTCAAAATTTCCGCCACCGGTTCTCCAGAACCTGCTGGATTTCACCCCTGGTGGACACCAAAAAAAACCCTAAATCAGAAGTACACTAACATAAGATCTTTGCCTTATATTAACTGGAAGAAGTTCTCATGGTTCATAAATTATTAAAATTATAAAAATGGTCAACTTTATTTTTTTCTTTTTAAAGAATAAAGTTCTAGTCTTGTTGATTATAGATTATGCATAATGAAAAAAGCAAATCAGAAAAGTGAAAAAACGAGAGAGAATAATTTTTTAAAATATATCCTGAATTTCCAAAGTGTTATTAATGTTAAGTACTTTTTTTAAAAAAATCCACAGTAACAATTTAAAAAAAAAACCTGTATCACATGTTGGGTCATAAATACATACATTTCCCCAAATCTTGACAATCATCACATTAACCATATAAATTGTGCTTAAGATTGTTACATAGAAAGAGAGTGAGACAGATAGGCAGAGAGAATGCACACGTTATTTACATATTTATTTTCCCATAAATAAGTAAATAAATTGATACCAATTCAAAAGCAAAAGTTACAACTTGAAAATAAAACAGTATAATGAGGTCAGTGTTTACGTTAATCTTTCATAATTGGTCATGGCAAGAATGGTGGAACAATCTTCATTTTAATAGTTTTCTAAAATCTAATCGAGGTTTAGATCGGAGGAGGCTGACAATGCTAAAAAATACTGTATAAAATTTCTCCTATTGGTTGTTGTCCAATTAAAAAAAAAGACTCCAATTCCCGGCATGGAGACTCTGATGTAAATCAAGGAGTATGTGGCCCGAACTCATTGGTAGCCTCACATTGCAATGAACAAGGACATACATTCAATTTCGCAGCTACTAAGATTGTTGGTTGAGCAGGTACAAAGATAGCCAGGGAAATGACTGAAGCTGGGAAACAGGCTCCTTGAACAGGAGTGCTGATTTACCACCAGATTATCAGGTATTTAGGAGCTGAGGACTTGGCAGCACAAGGAAACAACAACCAGTGGAAAAAAGCATACATTCTGGTAGAGAGAAGTTCCCTGGGGATGGGTTCCATCACAAGTCCAAAAGCTCAGAAAACTAAACCTCTGGTCCCAATGACTGACCCAGATTGGACCCTGCAAGGCTGAATCTCCAAGAGAATAATTTCCCACAGAATGGGGATTGACAGCATAAAGATCTGTTGTCTAGGAATGACTCAGGGAGAGAAGGCCCTCAACAGAACCTTTCTGAGTGGACACCTTCACTTTTTATTTATTTATTTATTTATTTTTAAATTTGTATACCGCCCTTCTCCCTGAGGACTCAGGGCAGTGAACAGCCAAGTAAAAGCATAAACTACAAACATTAAAATACAATTAAAAAGATATATATAAATTTGGCCCCATGATTAAAAACAATAACAAACAATTAAAAACATTTAAAAAGTGTTAGGCCAGCCCGGCTTGCTGGAAAAAGAAGGTTTTAAGGGCACGGCGAAAGGCACCGAGGTCTTGGATTCTCCTTATCTCTGGGGGCAGCTGATTCCAGAGGGTAGGTGCCCCCACAGAGAAGGCCCTGCCCCCGGGGGTCACCAGCCTACATTGTTTGGCTGATGGCACCCCGAGGAGGCCCTCTCTGTGGGAGCGCACAGGTCAATGGGAGGCCGTTGGTAGCAGCAGGCAGTCTCGGAAATAACTAGGTCCTATGCCATGGAGCGCTTTAAAGGTGACAACCAACACCTTGAAGCGCAAAGCAATCCTGGATGTATCCCAGTACCCCATGCAGAGCTTAAAAGGTAATGGCACATACTTTGAATTGGGCCCAGAAGCCTTCTTCGAAGTGCTGGTCATCACTTTTAAAACCTTTATAGCACAGCATTGGGATACCTCATATAGAATAGTTGTGACCTTGTATAGCTTTAACCACCATATCATCATATCATTTCTTTCTCTTTCTTCATTTTCCATCCCCCTCCCCCCTTTTTCATGTTTCTTCACAATAATGTTGTGTCATCATCTTGTGGACATGTCATGATGGACTCATTCTCATCATTTCTTACGCCATGTGAACAATACAGCCAAATCCGTTTTTCATCATGGTAAGTAGTGTTGTCATACAAAGAGTTTTGTCTTCTGAATCAGAAGATTTGCATGAGATTTAACAACGAAGTTCATAATATCACAATTTAGGCGTATTCTAATTAAATCTTTCAAGATGAAACAGGAATATAATTTTCTACTTGATTATCAGGCCACAATTCAATGGAAGTTAAATATATATTTTTTATTTATTTTCATGTCTTCTTGTCCAGTTTGATAGCAGCATAACCACGCATGACATATATAGATGCAGCTGGGGCAAAATATATAGATTTTGCTACACAACTTCATAACATCAATGGGTGTTGTATGGAACAGGTTATTACTGTCCATACAAATCAAAATCAATGGCAGAATTAAAAAAATGAGAAAATAGAAGAGTGAGGGTTCTTTTATATATTACTAAGATGAATCTTCCACTCATTCTTCTAAGTCTTCCATCTTAACATCAATTTTTTTCATTTTTACATTTTTCAGATTTGGAAAAAAAAAAAAGAATTTTCTTCATGGTTTTCCCATAGTTATATTCATTCAGTTTTTGCATGTTTTTAAACTACATTCACATGTTACACATAGTCCTCAACTTATAACCCAGTTTCTTAACAACTACTTGAAGTTGCAATGGACCCCAAAAAAGATACGTTCTGGATTCAAAGTTCTGATAACTGTCCTCCCTGGTCGTGTGGTTGCAGTTTGGGCACTCAGCAACTGGTCCACATTTACAGCCATTTGCAGTGTCCACGATTTACATATTTTGCCAGAAAGCAACATTTACCTCTGGTAAAAAAAATACCCATTGCAGACAATGAGTTTGCTTAACAACCACAGGGTCACTCAGAACCATCGCAAAAATGTCAATCATATGATGACCCGCTTCAGGATTTACAACTATAATTCCAGACTCATTTATGGTTGTAAGTGGAAGACTATCTATATATGAATATACGGCTCTGCTGTCAGACCTTCAGGATAGACCAGATCATTAAACAGAGTAGAACTAAATTTTATTGAGATAGGTTATAATAGCAGAATCTTCCAAACCTGATTGTGCTTTTTACCTCCCCTCCCCTTTGTATGTCCCAATGAATAAGAGAGGAGTTGCCTGAGTCTCTTCTGAATATTCACTTGTTTCCCAGGACTTAAAGGATGTTTCAGCCGTCTTTCCTTACATAACAATTCTTGCCTATTTCCACGGGTGGGATTCAAAAGTTTTAGCAACTGGTTATCTGCCCGGTTGCTGGGTGGATGTGGCCATGGTGGGCGTGGCCTACTCAGCCTCCTGCACCATGGCGGGGGGGCATTTTCGCCCTCCCCAAGCTCCGGAGGCTTTCCTTGAACCTCCAGGAGGGCGAAAATCGGTCTCCCCTAGGCCCATTTCCGGACTTCTGAAACTGCTGGGAGGCCCATTTTTCGCCTGCCTCAGGCTTCGGAGGCTTTTTTCAAGCCTCCAGGATGGCAAAAATGGCCTCCTGCGGGCTCCGGAGGCCGGAAACGGCCCCATTTCTGGACTTCTGGAACTTCAGGGAGGCCCGTTTTTCACCCTCACAGAGTGGGCCCTGCACTTACCTGGCAGCCAAAATGGGTGGAGACTCCTGGGAGTGGCAGGGCAAGTTGGGCGGGGCCAGTAAAATTAGCATGCAGTTCACCCAAACCAGTCCAAACTGGCTGAATCCCACCCTTGCCTATTTCCCTCAAGGTCCTATCCCTAGTAAAATTGATCATTGAATAGATAGCATATTGAAGTAGAATTCTTTATTGGCCAAGTATGACTGGGCACACAAGGAATTTGTCTCCGGTGCATAAGCTCTCGGCATGCATACAAGCAGCAATCACGATCATAATCATAAAATACAATCATCATAAATCATAAGATACAAATTCAGTGATAGTCATAGGATACTAAATCAGGTAAGACGGCAAGAGGAGCCCCGTCTTGTTCCATGTGCCCCAAAATAATAAGACCTCCCCGAAAATAAGGCCAAGTGCTTATTTCAGAGTTCAAAAAAATATAAGACAGGGTCTTATTTTTGGGGAAACACAGTATTTGCAAATGATAGTCTTGCAATTGCTATTCTTTAACAAACATTGCACTTCCACTGAGGCTGACCCAGGCCCTGTTGGATCAGTGATTTTTTCCCTCCTGGCAACCAGATTATATATTAACTGGACTATCTCTTGATCTGATCAACTCACATTCCTCTTCAAGATATCCCACTGACCTCCATTGGTTGACATCCCATGCAACTAAGAGATTATCAGCTTCTTGGTTAGATTAGTCTGTAATAAAACATTGCATTTGAGTTGAAAGGAATTCCTTTTCAAAGCAAGAATAAAAATGGCTTATCCTTCTCATCCGAGGACAAACATGGGGAGTTTTCATTACAAATGGGCAAATTTATTTGTTCATTTGTTTATTTATTTATTAGTTCGATTTATATGCCACCCTTCTCCGGAGACTCAGGGCGGCTTACAATGGGTTAAGCAATAGCCTTCATACTTTTGTATATACCTGCTTAGTAGGGCTTTCGGGCCCCCCAAGCGGTGTTCTTTTTCATACAAAGTCAGTTTATTACCCCCACAATCCGGGTCCTCATTTTACCTACCTCGAAAGGATGGAAGGCTGAGTCAACCTTAGTTAGATTAAATGTTACCTCTTTTCGTCATCCTAGAATAGAATGGAATGGAATGGAATGGAATAGAATAGAATAGAATAGAATAGAATAGAATAGAATAGAATAGAATAGAATAGAATAGAATAGAATAGAATAGAATAGAATAGAATAGAATAATTTTTTATTGGCCAAGTGTGATTGGACACACAAGGAATTTGTCTTGGTGCATATGCTCTCAATGTACATAAAAGAAAAGATACATTTGTCAAGCATCATAAGGTACAACACTTAATGATAGTCATAGGGTAAAAGTAGACATTTGGGGGGGGTTGCTTTGTTAAGTTTATTACCGAAATTACTTTTAGTAAGAATATCGACAATGACTTGGCATTATAGCTTTATTGCCTTTCTCTGTATTTTGGCTATTTAAATTAAAAGTTCCTACTGTCATGCTGGTCCCAGGGAATCTACAGCCGAGAATAAGCTTAATGAGTCGCTTGGCATTTCTCTCTTGCAATCTCCATTGTATTAGATAGATTTGTCTAAACCATATTCATTTCATTTATTTCAGCAAGGTGTATGCCAAAGACTGGCCGGATGCATTGAGCCTCACATGATTTATTGCACCAATTTGTTTAAATCTATTTGATTCATATTTTTTTTTAGAGAGATGCAATTGTCCCTTTAAGCCAAGAAAAAGACATTTGTGGAGAATTATAAAGGTCTTTTCCTGCCCTTTTTCTCCTCCCTTTTAGCAGAGTTGGACAGTTACTCTCAAAATTTCTAACTGGCCCATAAAAGTCACCTTTTCTGAAAATTTTAGCACAGGATTTAACTGTACCTATATCTAGAGTGAAGGGAGATTTAGCATCATAAATTCAAGACATCCTCAATCATTGGCTCAGCAGCAGCATCCAGTGGCCATGGGTGTCCTTGCATTTTGTTTCTCCACATTTTTCACCTCTCCTTGTGCCTGATTTTCTCCCTCTGACTCTTCTATTTTTCCCATTCTAGCTCACAGACATAAGAAACACGATATGCTGCAACCCTGTGACACTGAATATCCCGTGTTTGTGTACGAGCCTGCTATCAAAGAGGCCAATGGACTAATTGAGTGTGGAGCCTGTCAGAAGTAAGAGAATGGTCTTTATCTGTGCTTCTCAAGGGCAACCAAGAATTTTGCCCTTTTTCCTCCCATCCATACATGTTGCTTGTTATTGCCAGCACTAAAAGCAGGGGTGAAATGCTACCGCTTCATACTGGTTCGGCTGAACCGGTAGCGATGGTGGCAGGTGGTTTGGAAAACCGGTAGCGACGGCAGCACGAGTCTCCGCCCAGTCGTCATTACTTCCTGGTTTTAATCAGGAAGTAACCTGTTTTTTACCCTCTGCGCATGCGCAGAAGGGTTTGCGCATGCGCAGAAGGGTTTGCGCATGCGCAGAGGTTCTGTGTGCGTACGTGACGCGTGCATGCACTTTTGAACTGGTAGGGAAGGTAAGTAGATTTCACCCCTGACTTAAAGAGCAAAATAATAAATCCTGGTTAAGATCCTGACTGTTCCCTTCTAAATGCACCTGGCACTTAAGTTCAGTTACAGAAGTCATCACCCTGTCCTACCCTCATTAGATGGGTAGTACCTGGAGACAGGTATTCTTTCTAGTTCCTAACATTCTGTGTAGAAGGAAGAGGAAGTGACCTTGAAGGACAGGAGGAAGAGCCTCTACCAGGTTTGAACATTCTCCCTCCAGAAATCAGGATGACCCCCAACCCTGCTGACTTTTCATAAGTCCTTAAAGACCAAGCTTTGTGCCTGGAAGTAGAGCCCCAAGCTTGTTCAGGGACCCATTTAGTGAATAATTTAAACATTATGATGGGCACTTTATTCTTGGCTATTACATATTTGTATATATTAATTTAATTGTTTTTATATTTTAAATTTTGTTTGCTGTCCAGAGTAAGATAGGTAGCCCTACAAATGGAGATTAGACAGATGATGATGATGATGATGATGATGATGATGATGATGATGATGATGATAGGGGGAGAGAGAGAGAAATAGAGAGAGATAATGGATGGATGGATGGATGGATGGATGGATGGATGGATGGATGGATAGATGGAACGGACGGACGGACAGACAGACAGACAGACAGACACCCAATAAAAGGAGCTTGAGTCTGGGCCAAGAAAGTAACTTGAGAAAATGTCTCAGAGAAGCCCTTTCCTAGTTCACCTAAAGGGAGGGAGGAAGCATATTCAGGCTTGCAAACTATCTTCAGTTGTTATTATATCTGTTCCAATAAAAGTGGTTCTGACATTCATGGAATTGATTTCATATGGTTTCATAGTCTGGTCTACTTTGTAGGGCTGACACATTGGAACTCTTTCCTTTTAGAATCAGATGGAACATTTTTCAGGTCTTTTAATTCTGTGGGGATTGTTACAGATAAAGATCTCAATAAGTCTGTTCTTGTACAACGAGCACGATGATTTCAATTCTCATAAGAAAACCTCTAACCCAGTGTTTCTCAACCTTGGCAACTTGAAGATGAATGGACTTCAACTCCCAGAATTCCCCAGCCAGCATAGCTGGCTGGGGAATTCTGGGAGTTGAAGTCCACTCATCTTCAAGTTGCCAAGGTTGAGAAACACTGCTCTAACCTATCTGGCAATCATTGTATTTTGTGAGATTGCTTATTCTCATGGTGGAGTGCGTAGCACTCAACACCACTGTAGGATGAGCGACACAAAAGTAAACAATACTGGTTAAACATAGATATTTTTCATCTTGTCCACTACCTTAACGATAAACTAAATTTGTATACTTAGAAAATGAAGAAAAGCAATTCTTCAAAAATAAAGATGGTTATTTGCCATCTTCTTGGAACGCTCCATGCTTTCCTGTAACGCCTGCCACATTCCCACTTAAATTTGTTTAAAAAAAACATGTTTATAATCTGAAAATATTTGAAAGTGAGTAGCTGATTACTTAGATGGTGCGGATATGAAAGCTTGGAAGGCCACTAGAGCTACCAAAAAGAAAAACTACTGGCTGAAGATGCAAGTTGCTTGGAAATAGTTGAAAAGCATGTACCGTATTTTTGGAGTATAAGACACACCTTTTTTTTCCCAAAAAAGAAGGTGAAAATCCGGGTGTGTCTTATACTCTGAATGTAGGCCCACCCAGCTTCTCAAACGGAGGTTTCAGAGGCTGAAAAAAGCATCAGAAAGGAAGCTTCAGAAAAGAAGCCCCCAAACAGAGCTTCAGAGGCTTTTTTTCTAAAGCTGCTTTGGAGGCTTTCAGAGGCAGGAAAAAAAGTTTCAGAGGCAGAAAAAAAAAGCAAAAAAAAGCAAGGCACAAAGCTCACAACCAAGGAACCTGTTGCTAAAATTCACCTCTGGGAACAGCTGATTGTGGGTATTCTGGGAGGCCGATCCACCTGCCAATCAGCTTTTTTCTTATTTTCCTCCCCAAAAACTAAGGTGCGTCTTATACTCCGAAAAATATGGTATTTGGAGAACTTCCACAAGTTTGCTGAAGGTGCTTTGAACTAATGACTTCTGTTCTTGGGAGAGAAAAGTAAAGAGTAACATATTAGGGACAAAAACATGTGAGCTATGATGAGTGAAGGTCAGGGGTGGGTTCTAATTTTTTTTACTACCGGTTCTGTGGGTGTGGCTTATTTTGTGGGCGTGGCTTGACAGTCATGTGGCAATTCTTTAGGATTTAGCAGAGGTACTGGTCTACCAGGCTTTTAACTGCTTGCAGAGCTGTACCTGTTTACTCATTTGTTTTTGGAGGCCCTGGTCTACTCATTCATTTTAGAAGGCCCTGGTCTACCACCACACTGCCTTTTAACACTGATCAGCTGTAGGGTGAGCCTTTGAAGCCCCACGGCAAGAGTTTAAACAGTTTTTTTCTTTCTAGCCGATCAGCTGGGACTCGGGAGGCAGCAATAGATTGGGGGTGGGGCCAAATAAAAGGTAAGAATAACGCGGCGGAGGGCGGGAGGGCCCAGCTCCCAAACAAAGAGAACCGGTTTGGTGACATCATATCGTCACCGCTACCAGCTCGGCCAAACCGGACCGAACCGGGAGGAACCCACCACTGGTGAAAGTGATAGAGAAGATCCCTGGTAATTTATGAATATTTATTTTAGAAAAAAGCAAAAGCCCAAACCCAATATGGTGCAGCTGCCCAATACAGACACACAAACACAGATGCCTATTGGAAGGAGCTACCTAATACTAGTAATCCTCGATTTACAACCACAATGGAGCCTGACTGTAAAGTGGATTGCCCATGTGACCAATCCAATTTTACAACCTTTTCTGAAGCGGTTGTTAAGGAACCGTGGTTTTTAAGCAAACACCATAGTCATTAAGCAAACCCATTGTTTGCTATGAGCCAATTCTGCTAAAACCTGGAAACCATCAAAACTTTGGAACCAGGTGGTAAGTGCTTTTGGGGGAGTCCATTGGACTTTTGAACTGTCACTAAGCAACAGGTTGTAAATCAAGGACTACCTGTAGTTGCAGCGACTGCCTCGGTATGGAGTCTTTTTTGACTGGCGTGTTTAATGAGCATCTTGACGGCCATCGATGAGGCTTGCTGTAACTGCTCCCTATATTCGGACTGGCGTTCTGTCAAAGCACCTACACGAACCTTGCAACTCCATAGTCTAAATGGTGGCATTGATTTATGGAAGGAAATGGCTGAAACAAGGTAGCCCTGAGTTGATTGCATTGTCACTGCTGCTAGAAAACTAGTATATAGATATGTTAAGTTTATATTTAACACAAAAATAGTTTGTCACAAAAGCAACTGCCTGCGAAGCAGCGGTGAAATCCATTTACCTTTGCTACTGGGTCGGGAACGGCATGCGCAGAGGGTCAAAAACAGGACGTAATGATGTCTCGGCAGATGGGCGGAGCCTCCTGACACCGGTGCTACCAGTTTGCGCAAACTGGATAGATCTGTCCAGATTTCACTGCTGCTACGAAGGCTCCTAGATTGGGGCTGAAAGCCGAAAGCGGAAGCAGGATGCTCCGTCCCATATATGGGTAGACCAGGTTGCCCTGATAGAAAAAACAGTGTTTTTTATACTTATACTGGTAGATGTTAGTTTTAGAAAAAGCAATTAATTCACACCAAGTTACCAGCTCAATACTCCTTTGCAGGATGGTCTTCAGAAAAACCTGTGCATATGAAAACTTACATGAAACTTCCACCAATATACTGATCCAAGGTCAAAATCTGTAGCGGCATTTAATATTAAACTAAAAGCAGGGGTGAAATCCAGCTGGTTCTAACATGTTCCGGAGAACCGGTAGTGGAAATTTTGAGTAGTTTGGAGAACCAACAAATACCACCTCTGGCTGGCCCCAGAATGGGATGGGAATGGAGATTTTGCAATATCCTTCCACCAGGAGGGGAGGGAATGAAGATTTTGCAGTATCCTTCCCCTGGAGTGTGGTGGGAATGGAGATTTTGCAATATCCTTCCCTGTCATGCCCACCAAGCCACACCCACAGAACCGGTAGGGGAAAAAATTGGATTTCACCTCTGACTAAAAGTGTCCCTTTCTCTAGATTTTATCACGATTAAATTGTACCTATACATTTCCGGTAGAGGGCAGCAGAGCATTATGGCTCCCATGAGGTGACTTACAAATATCTCTTAACTTTGTCTATCAAGCTACTGTGCCACATTACTGTTATATGAGAAAGTAATTGATAGAAAACAAATAAAGATAAATCAGTGTAATAAAGCATTTAGGTTCCTTGGGTGACTATACATACCAGATTGGTCACCAGTCATCCTAATAAACTCTTTACAATTGCTCAACCTCCAACGTCACTCAAAATAACTTATTATATATCAGCTAGACCTAGGAAACTATGTGATTGAGCATGATAAATTGACACTTAAAGTCTGAAACTTAATGTAGAATGTGTAACTCCGTAGCATCAGAGCATATTAATATAAGGCAACTGGCAGTTGGAACAGAGGGGGAGAGGGAGTAGAATGTCCCAGCCCGCAGGCCGGATGAGTCATGCGCTGGCCAGGCCCACACCCAGTTGTGAAGGGATAGCATCAGAGGGTATTAATATAAGGCAACTGACAGTTGGAACAGAGTTCCTTTCAGGTGGGGAGGGGGAGTAGAACATCCTTAGCATCAGAGTGTGTGAATACAATACTGTATATGAAATACTAATGATCTGATGGACATTTCGAAAAATCCTTTCTTAGCAAGCACCTAGAAGCCAAGAGGAACATACATGCCAAATTTCAAGTTTGTAGGCTTTATCATTCTGGAGATTTAGTGATGATTCAGTGGTATTTGGCTTTTATATAGAGAGAGTCTTCTCCAAAGACTATAAAAAAGAGCTTTGGGATCGAACTTTTCATCCCCTTCTCTTCACTTTCCTTACTTTGAAACACAATAGGGGTCCAAGATATTTTATAGATGAGTGGAAACAGGTGAATTCAACTTGATAATTGACTAAGTTAGGCAGCCAGCCAGCTAATGTATCTAAAAAATGAAATGAAGCTACACCATCACTGACTTCATAGTATAAGGTAATGTTGGGGAGGAAGTTCCTGTTCCCATGATCCACAATACGTTGTGGGAAATCAAAAGTGGGGCCAATTTATCTAATAAGGGGCTGTCAAAATCTACAAGAATTTTGGGAATAGCAACAAGATCTGAGTCCCACCCCCAGCATTATGTATTCTGGAGGGACACCCATGCATGTTCGAAGGGGGCTGGGCTTGGATTGCAATGGCAGCCCACCATTTGCCAATTATGACACTGCCCTTTTTCAACTAATTCTGAGATAATTGGATCTAGTACAAATGAAGTTTCTCTTCTTTGGGCTGGAAGGATCTAGCCCAGGGGTGCTTAAATCTGGCCCGCGGGGCCACCCTAGAAACGGCAAAGGACCACCCCGTGGTGCCTCTGACAGCAAAAATGGAGCTCGGGAGGGCCACGTGCAGCCCTCCCAGTCTCCATTTTCAGCTGTGACGGCCTCCCGCCGCCCTCTGCCAGTGAAAACGGAGCTCTGGAGCCCATTTTTGCTGGCAGAGGACTTGGGTCACCACAGACGCCCCCGACACAAGTGATGTCAAGCTGGCCACGCCCACCCCGGCCCCCGAAGTCAAACACAACCCTGATCTGGCCCTCAATGAAATCGAGTTTGACACCCCCTGATCTATCCAAGGGTATCTTGGCAACTTTTAAGATTTGTGGATTGCAACTTCCAAAATTGAATTGATGAAGACGTATTTGTTTAACCTTATGGAGGGCGAAGAGTTATTCAATTTATTTATACTCGTGACAAAGGTTGGATGTCGCTTGCTTAGAAATTTATTTCTTTTTAATTACATTCTCCTTTTTTTCTCCTTTCTTACACTTTCTGTTCTTCCTTCCCTTTCTCTTCCCTTTCTCAAAGTTTACTTTGTAATAGTTTTTACCGCTGCAGTTAAAATTCTTAATACAAATAATATTTGGATAAAAATATAACGTCGTCTCTCGGGGATGGGTGTCCTTCTCAATCTTGCAGGATGTTTTTGGCGCAGCAAGTTATGAGCAGCAATCTTCTGCTCTTGGTAACCGATGCCACCTGTGATTGCAGCAGCATCTTCCGACCTTTTGCATTGCAAGCTAAAGAAGTCAAATATATCTTTTCCCTGGCAATTCCCTGTACTGGTCTGTAACTCTTTGGCAGTTCATTAGCACAAATGAAGTACGGATCTAGCGTTTTCCTTCATAACTCCAGAAGGGATTAATAGAACATGCTTCTGTTTAAATGCGGAGTGAAAACGGTACTGTTAAAAAGTGAAGTTGAAACAACCCTATATTCATCCTCTTTTAACGACCCCATGTGGAGTCTCGGCAACTGAATGGAGCTGAGTGTTTTTACTGGCCGATGCCTTTCCTGTTGCCAATGCGGAGTTTCTTTCAGCAGATATATTCCCAGTGTACCCAGAGAGAGAAATATCTGCCTCTACCTAGGATCAAACTCACAGCCTCCTGATTGTGAGGCGAGAGCTCCTCTTCTAGGCCATTACACCACTTTGAAACAGTACTATATTGCTAGTTGTTATGTATAGTAATTTATTATTGCTTGTTACACTTTAGGAAAAGTAAAATGTGTGTGCTTTTCTAGATTCCATAAATCTTTTTTACGAAGATAAGTGGGAAAAATCTTGCTGTTTTCCAAATTCTCTTTACAAATTTAATTTTAAAGGTCTGTGGAATCAGTGGGGATATAGAAGGACAGGTAGTTCTATTAGAAACTACAACAATAAAAGCAAGATGCTTTTGATTTTATCTCTAGTGCTATGTAGAAACTACTTTATCAATTCTGTTGGCACTGCAGTTTTACTCAAGAGTTTACTCTAAGTCAGGATTTATTCAGTTACCGGTAACCTACATTTCTAGATCCGCATGAGTTACTATAGTCTAACTACTTCATTGGATTGGCACAGTATGTTAAGCCAATGTTCTCAACTTTTGGATCAGAAATCCATAGTGATCTGCAACAGTGCTATAGATGGCCTGGTACAACTGCCAAAATAAAAACATCCCCACTCTTACCTAGAAATTGCAGGGAACTTAGCAGAACCAGTGGCTAAAACACAGTGGCTCAGTGGCTAAGACATTGAGCTTGTCGATCGAAAAGTCGGCAGTTCAGAGGTTCGAATCCCTACTACCGCATAATGGAGTGAACTCCTGTTACTTGTCCAGCTTCCGCCAGCCTAGCAGTTGGAAAGCACGTAAAAAAATAGGGACCACCTTTGGTGGGAAAGTAACAGCGTTCCGTGCGCCTTTGGTGTTTAGTCATGCTGGTCACATGACCACGGAGACGTCTTCGGACAGCGCTGGCTCTTTGGCTTTGAAACGGAGATGAGTACCGCCCCCTAGAGTCGGGAACGGCTAGTACATATGTGCGAGGGGAACCTTTACCTAGAAGAACCAGCATGCTAAGGATTAAAAAAAAAAAAGACTCCCTTGACTTAAATTTAGCTCCTGTCAGCTACTTCATGCACACATCCATGAAGTTTTCTTGATGATCGTATTTGTCATGGCTTATTCTAGGATTCTCCAGTAGCCTCCTATGTCAACTTTGTTTAGCTTCCAAGCCTTAGTTTCCAAGTTCAGCTCCCGCCTGCTATAATAACTTGGAAATGTTCGCCCTGAACCAGTGTGTGGGTGAGAAAAGGTAAAACATGCAGAAAATGTATCTAATGAAACATTACATCTGGTCTTTAGCTGATAAGCTTTAGTTCAGCACAAAGAGGAAAACAACTTGCAGGCTGTGTCCCAAGACTAGGTGAAAGCTATTGCTTTCAACAGATTCAGCCTGCTGCCCATCTAGGAAGGTTCCCAGGGGTGGGCTTCAAAAATTTTAGCAAGGGGTTCTCTGTCCGGTTGCTGGGTGGGTGTGGCTATGGTGGGTGTGGCCTAGTTGGCCTCCTGCACCACAGCGGGGGGGACTCTGAAGGCTTCCTCCAGGAGGGCGAAAATGACCTCCCCAGGCTCCAGAGGCCCTCTGGAGACCAGGAACGGGGCCATTTCCGGCCTCCAGAGGGCCTCCAGAGCCTGGGAGGCTTGCCTTCCCAAACTTCTGTAAGGCCCCATTTTTCGCCTCCCCAAGCCTCCACGTGCGCCCTGCACTTACCTGCATCCAAAATGGGCTGCATGGGGACTCCTGGGAGGGGCGGGGTGGGAGGGATCAGCCAGGAGTGAGATTTGGGGGTTTTCCGAACTGCACAGAATCTTAGCTGGAGGTTCTCCCGAACCCTTACGAACCCCCAGCAACCCACCCATGTGCCACGACCCCAAGTGGCCTCAATCCAGCTAAAAGTCATATAAAGTGGGCCAGATTGGTTATGGTGAAGTCCTGTCCATTTCAATATGATTTGGGGATATTTTTGTTAAAACATGGTCACTAATTCCAGCTCATCTCAACCGGGACTACTAACAGGGGTGGCAGAGAAAATATTTAGGAAACCTTCTTCCTGTGACAAGACTTTGTGGGTGGGCTTGTCCCGTTGCTGCAATATTATCCATGTGGGCTGAAGCTTCCTGCTTAGCTTGTGCATCAGGAAATGCTATGTATGTGATGGAAATACATTTCTGTAGGCTAGCTGGTATTTTTAGTTGCAAATTTAAATTATTGGCCAGCGCAGCATCCGCTGACTCTAGATATTTTAAGTAAGATGTCCCTATTTCTCCACTTCTAAACACTGCTATTAGCCTTAACAGCTGCGTACATAACAGTTCGGTGAAATGCGACAGGATGCGCTCTCAGAAACTAAGACGCCGACCGGACAGCTGCCATGCATTCCATCCAGAGGTAAGATCTGTCAGCTTTCAGTTACAGAATAATTTGCAGAAATTATAGAATTATATGTATGACAATACCCTTGTCACCCATAAAATCTGCTTCATTTCCCATGGAGCCAATCCTACCCTACTACTAGGGTTGCTGACCACCTGCTGGCCTTCTCTTTTTTTCAGGAAAATGCCCAAGAATGTGGAGGAGCTGCAGCGATTTCAACCTCCTCAACTTTGCTCCTGTTTCTGTTGGCAACAACAGCTCTTCTACTGCGGTGACGAAGTGCACTGCAGTCCTTACATTGAACCTGGACTGCTATTTTCACATGGACCACAAACTCATCACTCCTGAAGGATTTCCTAGGACTTTCTCACTTGTATTTACAAATGAGACAGGAGGAGGATAATAACTATCAGACAAAGCTAACCACTGACTCTTTCCATCTCTACACTAGAGAGATGTTCATATAAGGGTAGTTGATGGGGGAATTATATTTTGGGGGAAATAAGGGTAGTTGATGGGGGAACTATACATAATTATATATAATTATATTTTGCCCTAGCGTATACCGGTAGACTGTAATGAATTAGCTTTCTCGACCTGGAGAAAGGTGCAAACTACTGGATTTAAGCCTCTAATACAGATAATCCTCAAGTTACAACCACAATGGAGCTCGCCCATCATGGTCGTAACTCATGACATACATAAAGCAGGTTGGTCAAATAACCAGCCTGATATAATGACCTTTTCTGCAGCAGTCTAACACTATAGTTGTTATGTGAATCAAGGGTTCACTATGGGCTGGTTTTGCAGAAAATTGGAATGCCCATTTTCAGCAAAAACATTGTAATACACAAATGAGCCCAAAATTTATGTTGCTAAGTGAGAAATTTGTTAAGTGAATTTTGCCTCATTTTATGACTTTTTTCAGCATATTTATTAAGTTAATCTGGTTTTCCCATTGACTTTGCTTGTCAAAAGGTCAGAAGCCACCGTCATAAATGTGTCAGTTGCCAACCATCAGAATGTTAAATCTTATGACCATGGAAATGCCGCAATGGTCATGTGAAAAATGGTCATAAGTCACTTTTTTCAGTGCTGTTGTAACTTCAAATGGTCACTATGTTGTTAAGTCGAGGACTATCTGTACGTAATCCACTTGACTGCGTGACTCTGCAGTTGGCCATAAATGTAAGCCAGTCGTTGGGCACCCAAAGTGAGGCCTTGTGTGACTATGCGGGGGAGCAGTCATTGAAACTTCGAATCTGGGTTGTAAGTGCTCCCCAAAGTAGATCCGTCGGAATTTCAGTTGCTAAGTGACCAGTCATAAGCTGAGGACTACCTTTTGCTCGGCTAAATAATTTTAAAGATTTGGACAAAACTGGTGAGGGATATCGGAGAGAATTGATTGTGCCTCCAAAATTGAACTTTGGCATGGGGTCGGTCAGTGATGTGCTCTGGATTTTTTTTTAACTATTACATTTTTCAGCCAAAGTTACGGCTCTTACATTTTGTTTCTAAATGCTTGAACATTTTATAGAATTACAATTTCCTGTGTAAATTACAGAAATAGTTTTAATAAGGATCAGACTGAACTTACAAATTAAGGCACACTCAATTTGGCAATGACAATGTTTTCAAAAACGATTTTGGGAAAAAAAACTGTGGACTTTTAAGGCTGCTGCCGAATTTTAATGAGACAATAGATCATATTGTTGCTTCCAGCCAGCCCCTTTATGCCAAAGATTTATTTTCCCTTTCAGACAAAAACTTCCTCGTTGGTAAGACTGCATAATAAATTTTTTAAAGTTATTAAGGGCATGATGCACATCTAAGACGATGCACCCATGAGATGTAGAAATTCTCTCTACTTTTGGAAGTTGCTTAGCTTTGTGAAAGAAACTATGGGCAATTTTTTTTCATGCTTGCTTGAGAGTTTATAGATTTTACCCTTAGAAACTAAAGTACCAGGTTGGTACACAGCAAAAAAAAAAAAAAAATGATATTCTTACTGTATAAGGCTCAAAACAAGTTAGATGAACTCAACATGAGTGATCAGAAGTAAATCATCATCCTAAAAAGCACCATCAGAAGGACTAGTAGTTCATAAAGTTGGAAGCTATTTACACTATCAAATCCAACCTCCTCCTCAGTCCTAGAATCCAATTTTATTGACTAATAAGTTCCCCAAAAGAAATTTGTGACAAGAGTGTTTTGTTTTGCTTCCATGCACATCCTGTTCCCCATATAGTATTTGTACTATATATTGCATAGTCATGTTGACAAGCACAAAGGATTATTTTTGAGTTAATGCTGAAGCAACCATAAATTAAACTATTTACTAATGTGCATTACTTCACTTACACACGGATTTGTCAATTCATTTCAGGAAATGGTTACACAAACCCAACCTTTGCGTGTGACTGGGAGGTGATTGGGTCCAAATCAGTCACTCTGGGTTAGTGAGTTGGATGATTTATACATAAAATAAATGAAAGTATTTAGTGTTTCCTTGCTTTCTCACTCAAAGATGTAATAAATCATTTTCAAAACTTAACAGCAGGCAGCGAAAATTACAGGAAAACACCAAGATTGCATCTACAATATATTACAACAGCACTAACAATTAAACTATTACATCTGACTGGCATGTTTTGTCATTTTTTTTCTTCACGCGGCCTAAATTTTACCCTTCAAGTGTTAAGAATATTTTAATATTACTGGACACCTTGCAAGCATGTTAATCAGTTCTAGAACTAAGGTTAGGTAAAGGTTCCCCTCGCATATATGTGCTAGTTGTTCCCTACTCTAGGGGGACGGTGCTCATCTCTGTTTCAAAGCCGAAGAGCCAGCGCTGTCCAAAGATGTCTCCGTGGTCATGTGGCTGGCATGACTAAACACCAAAGGCGCATGGAACGCTGTTACCTTCCCACCAAAGGTGGTCCCTATTTTTCTACTTGCACTTTTTATGTGCTTTTGAACTGCTAGGTTGGCAGAAGCTGGGACAAGTAACGGGAGCTCACCCCGTTACACGGCACTAGGGATTCGAACCGCTGAACAGCCCACCTTTTGATCGACAAGCTCAGCGTCTTAGCCACTGAGCCACCGCGTCCCTGCTAGAACTAAAATTAAGAATAATCTATCAGTAGGTAAGAGTATTTGACAAGAAACCCACATCCCATCTCCAGGTCCAGACAAGAGAAGCGTAAAGGGAGATAAGATGGTTCCAGTTATGGCATGGCTATGGACTTCAGATCACCAACTTAAAGCCTTCTTTCAGAGAGCTTGGACATAAGCAATTTACCGTCTATTGCCATAGACCTGGGGTCTTCAAGCTTGGCAGCTTTAAGACTTGTGGACTTCAACTCCCAGAATTCTCCAGCCAGCATAGCTGGCTGAAGAATTCTGGGAGTTGAAGTCCACAAGTCTTAAAGCTGCCAAGGTTGAAGAGCTCTGCCATAGACAAATAGATTTTGGAAATGTTCTTTTCATGAAGGTACAGTTCCTTCTGTTTTAGAATATTTAAACAGAAAGATAAAAGTCTCCATATCACGTCAATTGACCTTGGTATATGCACACATCATGCTAATTTGTCATTCTTCCATAAAACGCCGTCCTTCTTTTAAGGCAATCTGTACTAATGCATCTGTTCTTCCAATTCCAAGCCAAATATAGTTTTGGCACTGTTTCTTTTTTAATCTCTGAAAAAAACCCACATCATAGAATCAACCTTATGAAGCCAACTCTCCTCTGCAGACCATTCATATTTTTAAAACATTATTGTAATAGCATTCATTCATTCATTTATTTTTATTTATTTGTTTGTTTATTGCCCAAGTGTCTAAATAATCAGCCTAACAATCTTAGGGTAGATTTAAAAATGGTTCTACAAACTAGGTTTTAAAATCTTCAGCAAAGTTAAGTGATGCACAGGTCTCTTCACCACCTAAGTAGTCATAAGATAAAGACGATAATTATTTTAACCTGGTGTTCTGAAAAAAAGGAAGAAAGGTACAACATACAGTCTAACTAAAACACAAGACTTTCTTGAACAAATTAAAAGGCAGACAATACTTGCTTATGGTTTCCGCATAATCTACAGGATTTAACGCAATAGTAATCAGCCTTTCATACCAATTTGTATCGATCCACTTCCATCTGATTCTTTCCCCCAAAACAGTATTAACAATGAAAAGATTTCCTGATAGCTTCATACTTACATTCTCTGAGCAACTCTGATACAGGTAGAAAGATTAGACTCAGCACCACTTCAAATGCATAGTTGACAAACTCTGTCATACTCAGTACCAGTGTAGCCTGTTCTAGTATTCAGCCTAACCAAGCTTATCGTGTTAAGAAGAAAAAAAAAGGGATGGGGAAATCCTGCTAGTATCCCAGTTTAGTTGGAAGATCATAGTTTTCAGTTGTCAGAAGATTCAGAGCAATATATATTATTGATTTAGATCAGATCTTGACCTCGATCAGATCTCTAACCATTTTACTATACTGTATTACAATATAGGATCATCGTTGCTTTATTTTTGAGGGGGTAGGGGGCATAAAATCTTATGGTAGAATAATACTAGAAAGACACACCAACCTTAGTGCACATTGGTGGCTGTACTTTAGCTTCATAATATTTCCCTTTTAAATCACTTCACCCTGTTTTAAATCAACTAGTTGTTAAATCAACTCCAGATGGATGATTCTTCAGTTGAATTGCGAATTCCCACAATCTCACAGTACTCATCTTACTACCTGAGGCTGATGGAAATGGTTGTTTAATATAGAAAAAGCCAAAGATGGCGATGTCCTAGATCAGGGGTGTCAAACTGGATTTCTTTGAGGTCCAGATCAGCATTGTAGTTCGCCTCAATGGGCTGGCTGGGGGGGGGTGGGGGGGGAGGGGGGAGACGGGACGGACGCCTCCTGCAGAACCCTGCTGGCCAAAATGGGGCATGGGGGGGGCACGCGAGCCCCACACACACCCCATTTTTGCTGCCTTGAGTTTGACACCTCTGTCCTAGATAGTTGTAAAGAAAGGCAAAACAGATTCAGATAACGTTTCCATTATCACATAGACTGCCTCTAGGAATGCAATAATTTCTTCGGCTCAGGTTGTTCAGCTCTGAAGAAACTGAAGAAGTTTCTTGGATGAGAAGCGAAACGTCTTCAAAGAAAAACCAGAAAGTCCAGTTGCTTCTTGAAAAATCACCTTTGGGACAACCATGACTGGGATGACGGAGAATCTCCATAGACTTTCAGTATTTAATTCAGATTAAATTACCTGATACATTCAGGTAGTCCTTGATTTACGACCATTTGTTTGATAGTTCAAAGTTAGGATGGCCTTGGAAAAAGTGGCACAAAACCCTGCTCGCACTTATAATTGTCACACCACCCTCGTGATCGCAATTTGGGCACTT